CGATGCACTAACTCACAATACACTAACAGACTCTCTCGGTGTACTCGACGACCAACTTGGCACTAAATTAAGAGACTCTTAGCTGACTCAACTGACCACTCTCTGACTGACTATCAACTAGATAGACTTCGCACTCCGTGTACTAGCAGTGTTTATATAGCTTTTGGCTTATGTTCGAGATCATTCTGGGCTAAACCAGTAATAATTCGTTCCAGGAGGTTTTCCATCCATCTATGGCATATCGCCAATTTTGTTGCTAAATGTCACCAAATGGGCAACTTCTTGCCAAATATGGCAACCCTGCCTTCCCTTGCCATTTTCTGACAACCCTAAATTTGCTTTGCGGGGAAGCTATCTTACTGTGGCTATACATTTCATAACAATATTAAAGAATTCTCAATTTTCATAACCTCATGCATTGCTTTGGCCATGAAATGGCTCTCTCAGTGTCCAACATGACATTTTCAATCCCTTGTGAGATTAGTCACAGTTAGAACTACCATATATGCTAACCATTGCCATTGAAAATTCCAGTTTCCTTATTAAAATGTTTCTAGATTATTTTCTATGTTTCAGTAATTAACATTCACTATATATGACTGTTACGTCAAAACTGAAGTCTCTGTGTGTCAAGATGTGATTCCATCCATTCAGAAAAATAAAATGATTCCGCTGAAAGGCTTACTTACTGAAATGTGAAATGGTTGCAAGATGAATAAGTCATTCATCATATGCTGCCTATTATTTGTTTCCTCAAAACCACATCTGGCAAAATAGATAGAGAAAAAACATGCATGGAAAAATAGTATACAATATTATCTTCCAATAAAATCAAATTTTTTTAACATTAAATAAAAGTCAATTCTAAAACCATTTCAGTTTTAAAAGCTGAAACATTTACTTTATTTCATTGCATTCCCTTATCACATACTGCATCACAAATATTAATAGCTTAACCAATAGCTCATTTTCTTTTCATGTCACCATTACATTATATTACTACATTTATAATCCCCATGGCTGTTCAAGTGTTGTCATTTCATAAGGCATAGATTTTTCATTTATCATCCATATGATTTGATAAACAGCCATTTTCAGAGGCATCACCATTCAATATTCTATAAATGTCTTTATCATTGAAATTAAATCAGTATATTGTTTAACTACCTCAGAGTTTAAGTAATATGCATATTTCCAAATAAGTTATATCCTTTATTTTTAATGGTACCTCTAACTGATATAATTCATAATAAATTTAATTCATAACACATCTAAATGATAATTCTTATAAAATTGTAATCTACACACAGCTACAAAATTTCACAAGTACCACTAGATTTTATTTAGATGCAGATGATACTGAATGCAAGTAATCTTAGAAATTTCATAACCTATTGAGATATACATAGGTTGTTCGCACATTTTTTAGACGATTTTGGTAAGCGGTAATAAAAAATCGTTTGCTGCAAAAGAAGTAATTGCAATTGTACTATGTTTTTGTCAAGTCAAAATTATTGTCTGTGGCTTGAAAGTTTTGTTTTTATTCAAAATGGTGAATTTAACAAAGCAGTGGTTTGAAGGTTACATTTATGCTCTTTCCGAAGAGAAATATGCATACTCCGTTATCCAAAAACGATGTGAGAGTCATGGTTTTGTGAAATCTAAAGCATTGATAGGTAATATCATCAACAAGAAAGGAAAAAAACGTCAAATTGGAGCCTCAAGTGAGACAAAAATTTCAAACAAGTATCCAAGGAAAAAACGGATATCTTCGACTATTGCAAAGATACCTTGTTTAATGTTAAAAGAAAATCCTCCTAGTCAAAGGACAGTTGCAAAATCATTAAAATGCTCCTTGTCCACTGTAAACAAAATGATAAACGTTGATTTAAATCTTAAGAAAGCGAAAAAACGCAATGTGCATCGTCTTCTTTCAAAGCATATTGCTCAACGCAGGACACGCTGCAGAATTCTATATGAGAAACACTTATCCAAAGAAAAATGGAAAACAATTGTCACAATAGATGAAGCATGTGTGTATTTAAATGATTGTAGCAAAGAAAAAGAGCCATTTATTATCATAAAAGGGGAGATAAAATTTAAGTACATGGTTCAAAAAATCGAAAGAAAGTTTTTCTAAGGGATTCATGATTGTTGTTGGTTTTTCTTATAATGGCAAGTTAAAAATAAAGAGAGTGCAAAAAAATTTCAAGATTAACTCCAAAAACTATCAGGAACATATTTTATCGCCAATTTTTTAGAATGAAATACCATCGCCTTACCCACAGTGTCATCAATCTGTGAGACTCCATCAGGACAAAGCTAGAAGTCACACATCAAAATCCACTGTAAATTTCCTAAAAGAAATGGAACAAAAAACTGGTATCAAGGCCATACCCTTCACTGATATCCCTACTAAATCTTCCGATGTGTCACCTATGGATTTTTGTGCTTTCGGACTTTTAAAAACTGCATTATCCAAACGTTGTCCCAAAACCCTAACAGGACTCTGGAAAGCTGTTCGGGAGGAATGGGAGAGAATATCTCTTCTGCCACTTCAAAAGGCATTCCTGGAAATTGCGGTGTCGAAAGATAGTTCAGAATAAGGGATGTCAAATAGAACATTTAAAACACAAGAATTTTATGTAATTAGTTTTGTGAATACAATATACATCATCTAAAAAATGTGTGAACAGCCTCTGTATAACATTACAAGGCTTTAGAAACATTAAATATAGCAAGAGCATACAGTTAATAACACTTGCTGAAAAATATTATTAAGTATGTATTCCTTTTGAATGATTCATTTTGGTTGATAAACAATGCACATTTCACATAAAAATAGACTATTATATATATATAATAGTATATTTTATATAATAGTCTATACATAATATCTATATAGACTATCTATATTAAAGTCTATAGTCCCATATAGTCTATATATATATGTGATGTATCAGCTTTAGTCGTAGCTTAAATAATCAGACGATAGTTTTAAAAACAGGATCCATTTATTATTATTCAGGAGAAATATCAGTTACAAAAATCAGATATCCAGAGTAAATAAAAAAGAATTACTAATAACTTTTTGTATGAAGTTTACCGCATCGTGACATTTAAGAAAAAGCTACCGATATTCCTTTTGTGAGTCTTTTTATAGCCTCTGGAAAAGGGAAGCTTCCAAGAAATGACGTCAGCCTCGTCAGCCAATCCAGTTCGCTTTAAATATCTCCAGAACATTCTAAAACTGTACGTGTAGAAAAGGCGGGAAAAACAACTACGGGGCTATGGATTTAATTCCACGTACTTTCAAATAAGAGAACGTCGCCATTAAAAAATAAAAGAACATACAGTTAGAATTTTAAGTGTATTCTTGACTAAGGAATTATATTATTACATATATATATAATGATCTTGTGCTTCATCAATTGGCAATAATTTTGTATTTTGCCAGGACACAAAGTTTAACTTTCAAGTAGTAAACATAATAATACTTGATTGCAGGTGCTAGCATGACTTTACTAAGAAAAAAGAAGGCAAAAACAAGAGACCTTTTGTTTGATCTTCAGCAAAACAACCAGGTCTTCACATCCCACTCCATTTTCTGATAACCCAAATGATCCACAGTCTCTTCCTCCATCCAGAAACTGGCCTCTCAAATATTTGTGATAAATGATTTTTATTAAATTGATTATTTAAATTTTAAATTAAATTTTTTTCGTGGGAATATTTCTCACCTTCCACTTACATAACAGATTTCCTTACAGAAACAGCATCTGCATAAAATGAGAGCTGGTTATATATTTATACTTCAGAAAGCCATAGTTAAAATATGACTTCATTTAAATATTTATACTACACTACAGCTTTCTAAACCAAATTTAAGTACTATTTTAATAAAGCTAATTTATTCAATATAGGAGAGCCTCTGAAAAGTTTCCGACCTCAATATGTAGATCGTAACTGAAGGGGATTCTGAATCGTTATTTACTACTGTGAAATTTTGGGCAGCTAAATTTAAACGTGGCCGTACCAGCTTGGATGGTGATGAACATTCAGGACAGCAAAAAAATGCAACCACTGAAGAAAACATTACTAAAATCCACCAGATGGTGCTGACAACCATGGAATTAAGGTTTGAGAGATAGCAGAGGTTATTAGTATGTCCAAAGAATGAGTTTGCCACATATCAAACCAAAATTTAGATATGCGCAAGCTGGCTGCATGTTGGGTGCCGCATTTGTTCACTTTGGACCGAAAACGTGTCCGAATGAACATTTGCACCATTCTGTTGGCACAATAAATCAGAGTTTTTTCTACTGTTAATTATTGTAGATGAAACCTGGATTCATCCTTACAGCCCAGAAACAAAAACACAGTTAAAACAGCAGACTGCAAAGAGAGAATAGGCTCCAAAAATGGCAAAAATTCTTCCTTCTGCTGGGAAAGCTTTGGCAACATTTTTCTAGGACAGCCATGAAATTGTCTCAATAGATTATCTTAAAAAGGGAAAACCATTACCGAAGCATACTATGCAATGTTACTTGACAAGCTGAAGGCAGAAATTACGGAAAAACGGCCACATTTGCTAAAGAGAAAAAAATTGTTTAACCAAGAAAGGCTCCATCTCAAACCTCAACAGTTTCACGAGCGAAAATTCATGAATTACGATTTGAACTGCTTTACCACCCATCCTATTCACCAGACCCAGCACCAAGTGACGTTTTTTTTGTTCCCTAAGCTAAAAGAAGCACTTGGAGGGCAAAGATTTTTGTCAAATGAGGAGATATTACTGAGAAAGATTCCACATATTTGGGCTGGTTAAAAGGATGGGAGCATCGCTGAAAAAAATTTATAGGCTTACAAGGAGACTACGTCGAAAAATAAAGTTAATTTGGAGAAAAAATGTCTTTTTTCTTTGTTAGGTCGGAAACTTTTCAGACAGCACACGTATGTAACATATTTTACATGAGCAAACACAATAATTTGAAATAAACCTGAGTTGCATTTAAAATGCCATTTTCATTGCTAACTTCAGGAAGGAAAATAGGAACTAGTTCAGCTATTTCCCCAAAAAGCAGAGAAATTTCTTTATGGGTTCGCCAACAACAAAGGAGTAACATCTGTGCTGTCACTGCATGGGTTTTTACAAAATCTAAAACAACTGCATCATCCACTTGAAGACCACCGTTTGAAGATTGTTCTGATGGTTGAACTAAAGCAGATTGAAATCGACATCCAATTGCTCTACGAACAGCAGCTTGAAGTTGTATAATATTTTCTATATTAAGCAAAAACAAAAGAAATAAAAATAAAACTAGTTCCAAAACTTACTATATTACTTTTATGTTTTCATTTTATGAAAAATATTTTAATAGAATAGTATAAGTTATCCTGTCCCATTTTTAAGACGATGAAATTATTTCACAAATACAATAAATATAAAAATATAATGATAATTTCATATTTTGTGAAGTTAATAAATATGTAAAAAACATGCATTTTTTACATGTAATCTTAACAAAATAAATAAATGTTGACATAAATTTCATAAATAAAAATTTACTGAAATATGTATAAGAAATAAAATTCCATTTTTAAGAAATAGAAAATTTAATAAATTTGCAAATATTATGACTTATAATAAGATAAATTTATTTGTTGTGAAGAAACCATATTTTACTCACAAAGATTAATCTGTTAAGAATAATCTATACCAGTGTTTCTCAACCTGATTTACTTGTAGGACCAGTAAAATATTTCAGTTTTTTATTATTGTTCAGTGTTTTGGAGCAGTAAGATTGGCAATTTGGACAATTGGCATAATCTTTACATATACAGAATTGTGGAACTTAAAACGATTGGAAGGACCAGCAAATAGTGTTTGCAGACTGGTTGCAAAACAAAAACACTGATTTATACCATATAAGGTACCTAGGTAGTTTCATTTAATAAAAATCGTATTGAACATATTTCTTTAAAATGACATGTTCTAAACTAAACAGAAACGCTCATAAGTTTGCCCTTATTTTATTGTCTAGTTTGAATGCCTTATCTGCAATACTAAAAATTATATTTATTTTTAAAAATTAATAAAAACTCAAAAATTGTGTAAATGCTTAAAATTAAAGCTAAATTTTTAGAATGAAAAAATAGTGCAATTTTTAAATTATATGATTATTAATAACATAACTTATAATTATATATTTAAAATATTAATAAAAATATATTAGAATTAAAAATATAAACACATTTTTAAGATATAAAATGTAATTATTTTTATCATACAATTTTCAAGAAACATATAAATTAAAAAGTTAGTATATAATATAAGTAAACATATAAATTAGCATAAAAAATTACCGTGGTCAGCATCCATAGGCAAATGCCCTTCAGGAGAAGAATTGCATACAACAGGTTCAACTGAGCTCGCAACTTTAATACTTAATGTAATCAACTCCAGTATCAAATCATGCCACTGTTTTAATGAGTAAGTATCTTTAATATTGCTGGAAAATAATTAAGTTTTTTAAATTAATGCATTTGCAAATTGGAGATGTATTAAAAATGAAAGAAAATATATTATTTCTTAGATATAAGTTATACATATATTAAATGTCTTAAATGTCTTTACTTCTAAGATGATACCACTAAATTGCTATTCTTAAATTTGAATCTATGATAAAACAATGTGAAAAAGAAATTATTATAACAACAACCAATTTTAGTGCCACCATCTAAAAAATAAATAAATAATTAAAGTTATAGATCATATACAACAATATCACTAATTTTCGAAAACATTTAGACATTACCTGAGCAACATCCATTTGCATATATTTCACTAGCATAAATTTTAAAGTCACTTGAAGCACCCAGGTATTGCCCAAGAGTCACCTACTTAAGAGTGCTAAAAGGTTAAAAACCCTGTTCATAGATACATTAATAACCTTCATTTTTCTTATGCTAAATTAAACATAAAAAGAGGGAAAACAATCAGAATACCTAAAAACTGATTATATGAAAATCAGCTACATGAAGCAAAGCCCAATCAGTGGTTGAGTGGTTAAAATCAGTGAATGCTGGTATAGTTCGACCGTCTGAAGCGCAACGCTGGTTGGCATTCTGCCAAAACACATAGACTCGTCCTAAAGGGGCGGTATTACTTGCTGCGACATGAAAGGTCTTCTCTGGGAAAAGCTATACTGGAGGGAAAGAATGTCCCCATCCTTCCACCCATTTTGAGAACAATTCAGTCCGAATGGCGCATGCATGTTTGCGCTCATGGTCGCGGATGAGGCGGTCGAACTATAATTTGACCCAAGTTCAAACCAAGGCAAATGGACTACCTGCATGATTGGGCTTTGGGGTTTCCCCCCAGTGCAACATGGATATAAACTAGTTCCCCCCCCCAGAGAGTCCTTCACAATGTCACTCTTACCCTTAAGCATATAGTCTCACTACATTTAAATACCCTAACCTAACCTTAATTTAAGTGCAAACTTTTAAACACCATAAAAACAAGATAAATATATAGATTTTTTACAACCAATACAATTCAATCTTTATTTTAAGTAATCCTTCTTTAACTTCAAATGGAAGAGCTTTGTATATTTAAAAAAGTAAATGATCTGTCTTCAACAGAGTAATTATTTTCTGTAAATACATTGCTTTAATCACCATTTAAAACAAGGAAAGGAAGATTATAATAGAATACCATTTCAATATATAATATAACAGCTTTTTAGTGAATTAAATATAAGTTGAACGGTATTTGACATGATGTGACATCTCTGTAAAATGAAAAAGAACTTTATTTTTACATAAATTAATGAAAAAGATTTTTGGAAAAAGATTAAATTTGATTTAAAAAATAAAACAAAGTGGAAATTTTTAAAAAAATTATTACATTGTTTATTATTTAACTTTTACAACAATATAACTTTTTACTTAACTTTTACAACAATATAAATTTTCTATAATTAATAAATAAACCTAGCTATGTATTTCAACTAGCTGATTATGTGTTAATATAATTAGGTGAGTATGTGTTAATTTGTTAATTAACATTTAAAGATAACTGCAATATAAAACTGCCTATTTAATTTGGATTTCAGATCTTACTATTTAAACATAGACAAAATTTTCAGATTATCCCTCCCCCAAAAGCAGTATTTTTCATGCCATTAAATTTAGTTAACATATAAAAATTCAAGTACAAGAGTGAATATTATGAAATTTGGAAATATAATAAATGTGAACTTATTAAAACAAAAAGCATAATACTAACCTGAATTTCACCTGACATAGAACACTTCGAATACAAGTCAAAATTCCATATAATGGAGCCCGAATAGCAGCTTCCAGTAAATTTTCTAGGGCAAGTTCTAACTGCTTAGTTAGCTCACACATCAGCATTAAAATTGTAATAAACAAAGTAGAAGAATCTATTTTATCCACACTTTCTTTCTCAAATTGTAAAGGACAAAAACCCATTTTTATTAAATATAACAAATAATCAAATACCAATGAATAAAAATTATCACACTGCACCATAAAGGCATACATATAAGCTGCAGTAACAGTATCTGGTGGTTTAGCACTTGAAGCAAGGATTAAAGCTGTTTGGAATAGAGACTTCCTAAACCTCTCATCCTAAAAGAAAAATACACGTTTTGCATTACTCGAATAACACAAACATTTATACTGACACAATTTAATACAAATATTACGTATATATGAAAGTAAGCATAAAATCTCTATTACGCCACTGTGATTAAAAAAGTATCAGAATTAGAGCCATTAAAAAAAAAAAAAAAAAACACTAACATTTAATCTTTTAGAAAATATCTAAATATGCTGTATTTTTCGGCATATTATGTACACTGGTGTATAATATTCATCTATAATTTCAAGCTACATTTTTTAATTTTTAGGTATATTCGTCATAAACGTGCACCCAATTCTTCATGAAGAAACCTAAAAGATACATGTGCAATGCTGTTATCTTTTGAGGTCACTTATTCAAACATTTGTCCTAGACTTTCAAACAATTAAACTGCACAGACAAGCGGTAAGGGGAACAATATGTGTGTGGGTTGAACGCTTGAGGGAGTAAATATTCCAGCAAAGAAGGTGGATTGTATTCAACGTAAGTGTCCAAAATAATGCTATTGTAGAGCACTTCCAACCTGAATGAATTCGTAGAATTAGGAGTTAACCTGTTTTAATAATTAATAATGTTTTCTCTTCCTATAGTCATTTGAAGTCGAGATTTTGAAAAGAAAATCTCAGGCTTTAGTAAACTGCATTTGCTTTAGTTGAAATACAGTTGATCTGGTGCTCCTTTCAGTAGTAAATATGGCTCCTGCAAAAAGAAACAAACACAGGTTTGTTTCAAATAAAAAAATTTGGTTTCAAATAAAAAGCCATTCATTTTGCGAAAGAAAATGGAAATCGTGCTGCAGCAAGGTGTTGGTGGTGTATTTAATTATGGCAAAGCACACGAGGGCTATCTGCCTAAGGGAAGGGTAGCCTTTGTGGAGGACTTTCTAGGGGAAACTGGCTCGTATACACGTTACACATGGGGAAAACCACGAAAACGCCCACACAGCCAGCCCATTTGCGGAATTCAAACCTCAGACCGAACTACCAGTGTTCAGCGACTTTACCGCTCGGCCACTGGTGGGCCTGCTGCAGCAAGGATGTTTGGTGTTTTGTTAAAAGATGGAATAGACAACGATTATTTATTTATGGATCAAAATAACAATAATGATGAAGATGAAACAAAAGTCTATGATACGCCTGAAGATACAATGGAAAATAAACATGACGAACTCATCATATTATCCAATAATGAAAATGTTTAATTTTATAAGGTATGCCATTTCTTTTAAATAAGCAGCATTTTGGTGGATGTAAAAATCTAATTTTTTTCCTTATTTTTAAGCTATCATTTTTATATCCAGCATATAATGCGCACCCATATATTTTGATCCTATCTTTTGTTACCCATATCTTTTGTTACATTACCCAGAAAAATACAACAATTTTACTTATAGTTCTACTAAAATTACCTAAGTACAAAATTTGTAATAATGTTTTTTTTCTTTAGAAGAAATTTTTTCTTTAGAGATATATGCACTAATTTAATACTTCTAGAAAGAAAATATACATTCAATATACAATATACTTTTAGAAATAGAAAATATACTTTTTTCAGCTCATTTCAACTATGGTCAAAACTTTCTAAACATAAATGTATTTCTTAGGATAGTTACAAAGAAAGAAACAGAAATGGTATACTTAAACAACCTTTTATTGGCAAGACTTACTTTGGAAATATGAATACTGCTGCAAGTGATAAAAGAAATAATTGAATTTAATAGTACTAATAGGAAATGCTGGCACATTTAATAGTACTAACAGGCAATGCTGGCACATTGGCATATATCTTTTGGTACATTTATGTTATAGCAGCTACAGCAAGAAATAGAAACTGGCATGTTTCAGCCTTGGTAAGAAGTAAACAGTTACTGATACACACAAGGAATTCATTCAATGTCTGTTGTACATATGCACGCAGTTTATGTTTTTCTGTCTAGTGAAAATTTTTTTACTGTTCTGTTATCAGGACCAGATCAGAAATGTATGGATGTATTCATATATGCATATATATATTTAAGCACGAATGCATGTGTGTGTATGCATATACACATATATTATTCATACATATCTGAATCTAGTCCTGATAACAGAACAGTAACAAATTTTCTCTTTTTCTTTCCTAAATACTTGATATGTTTCCTATTCATAACTAGTCAAAACAGTTGGCTTCAATTTTCAATAAAATTCCAATGATTTTGAGGGTGATCAGCCACATGTCCTTCTTCTACAGCAAAAAGAACTCTACAGAATGTCTTTTGTTTCTCTTGTAATTTGAAACTTACTATTTTCATTCTTCATCTTATGAGGATCAACAAAATGGCAATACAAAAAGCATAGGAGAATATGGCTCATCATCACCTGCAGTCCTACCTAGAAGAGTTTAAAAAGACATCACATTGGCCAGGATAATGTATTTGAAGCTTTATCAACAACAATTATTAAACTGTAGCCACCAGAATGTATTGTTTAAAATGAATTTTGAATATGTTTCCATATGTTGTTTATTTGAATAAATTTCTTATAAAACTGTATTAAAGAAAATAATAAAAACAAACTTATATTATACTTCTATGTGTGTATATTGGTGCATCGTAGACATTAAATGAATTGCTTATCTGTGTGCATAACAGACTGTATCTCAGCAAAACTGATTCCTTTTCTCAACACATGGTTACTATAATATACTATCTCAACATATGGTTACTACAATATCTTACACATGGTTACTATAATATAGAAGTAATCTTCACACATAATATTGTTTGGCATTTGTTGTCATATAAGAGAAAGACTCATATCTTCTTCTACAAATACCAGGATAAGAATCATCTAAACATATTACCTCTAAATATGTGGAAGAAATTTTGCTGGATGAAAGAATTTTCATCACTAGCAATTTGTTATTCTCATAAGTGTCTTGAAGAGCATACAGTAGAGTTTCTGCAGCAGTTTTAGAATCAACTATATAAAGCAAAAAGAGTAGGAATTTCTTAATAAATATTACAATTACATCACCAGAATCAAACTGTTAAATTAAACAAACACAATAAAAAGAAATAAATACTAACTTAAACATACTGACTGGTGAAGAATTGAGTTCAGAAGAAAGAGGAGATTCAAAGTTGTCACACGACATGGGAAATTTGCACCAGGATGCAAGCATGAATAGAGATACTGCTTTAACCAACACAGAAAGTCCTGAAAAAATAAGTAAATGAATTAATTACATTAAATAAACATTATATACATTAATAATGCAGAATATACATTAATAATATGGAATACAAAGATAAAATTAAGCATTCAGAAACTTAATATGTCTATAAACCATAATTTACTATGCATTTCTTCATTCATTGCCAAAAATGCATTCTAGCAATATAATAAATATCAAATTTTTTATAAGGATTAGTTTTAATTGAACTGCACAATTCCTTTAGATCACTTAAAAGCTCTTACATTATATATAGATATATATATCACCCCAACCTGTTTTTAAATGAATTAATATGATGAAGAGAAACCACTCAGTAGAAAATAAAATATATTTTCGAAAAACTAAATGTTAATTTTGAGTTAGCTATGAAAGTAAAATCTTGTACTTTATTTTCAAAAGTAATTCTGAAAACCTAATAGATTTTAAACCATATTACTGCAATATGACCGCAAACTCAATTCAGCAATTAACAATTAATTAACAATTTATACAGATCACGGATTTTCAAGCTAAAGTTTTTGATCCATTGGAAAAGGTAATGGAAAAAAATACTGGGAGTTGAAACTTTTAAATTCTTATTTTTATGAATTAATAGGTAAGTAGATGTTTTAATCTATTCAAATAATATTTATGGTGCAAATTATACTTAAGATATTTACAAAAATGTGAGTTTCCATACAAGAAAGTGATTTCCTTTTACCTCTTCACAAATTTACGAGTTCTATAATAAACAAACTGCCCTTTTCAACCAATTAAATAGTTGGTTCTCAATCTCATGAGTTAATCAGAAATAAAATAAAGAAACTGGAAAAAATTTTCCTTGATAAAAAAATATAATGAGTAAAAAAAACCTGAGAAACCTTAATATCAGGCATATGAAACTCAGTATCTCAAGAAGGCTAAATGTTATCAGAATACTAGTCTGGGTCGTAAGGGGAAAAAAGCCATTTTCATGCTTAATGGTCTATTTACAAAAGAAGTAAATGTATTCATACCTAGTACAGTCAAAAGTCGTTAATTTGGACACCCATAATCCGGAATGATCTATAATCCGGACCTCAAAGCTAAAAACTTTCTGCACATGCGCATAGGCGTTTACGCGTGCGCGTAAGACCTTTACGACTGCGCATATGCGTGTGCGCAAGTGCAGAATACGTTTTCGCATGCGCGTTTAATGTATAACGGACGGTATAAGCTAAAATTATCTAATTATCTATTTCAGTTAATGTTGATGATTGCATTGTTCCTTAATCTTCGAACTAGATCTGGCTTATTACTTTTTTCAGACTGTAAGAGCAATTTTATAAAAGTAAACTTGAACTTTCGATTATGTCAAATAGAATTTCCGATGCTGGAGCTCCCAAAGGATCTACAAAACGAAAGTATGTTTCGATGTCCATCAAACAAAAAGTGCAATTGCTGCAAAAAATGGATAAAGACATGAAGAAGGTGACAGAGAGGTTAGTGAAAACGAAAAAATTTCGATTGACAAGTTAGTCGGTATTCTCGGCACAGCAATTACGGGACTTGAACAGCGGAACTTTGTAACTGAACAAGAAATTATGTCTGTTTATAGAATTAAAGAGAAATTATTATCACATAAAACGAAGCAACTTAAACAACTTACATTGAAAGAAATGTTTAATAAAGTAAACAAATAAATATTAAGCTTTTTTTTTTTTTTTTTTTTTTTTTTTTTTTTTTTTTTTTGTAAATTTTGATACCCTTTAGATCATAATTGTTCTTTATTTCATAAATTACAGTTTCATAGTTTTAATTTTAAAATTTCTACATGCCATCTTACGAGATTTAAACTGATGATCTATAATCCAGAAAAATCGATAATCCGGAATCGCCGAAGTCCCGACAAGTCCGGATTAACGACTTTTGACTCTATTGTAGTTCTGTAAAAAAGCAAGAGGAACATAAAGATAGACATCTATTGTTTCTTTCCCTACACCTCGCATCATTTCCTGCAGATGGCTTTTGAATATCTGAAGACATGTTGTTCGAATGAGCAGGTTTCAGAACAAAGATCGGATGAATGTCTGTTTAGCCAGAATTTGCTGAGACTTGTTCATTTTCATTTGTTAGAAAAGTTGGTCATACTGATATATACTATAAAACGTGAAAATCCTCTGAATCATACCAAAGATGGAAATCTACTCCCACCAAACGAAGGAGGACATAAAGATGAACACCTATTGTTTCTTTCCCTACACCTGGCATCATTTTCCTGTAGCTGGCTTTCAAATAAATACCTACAGACATGTTGTTCATATGAGCAATTTTCAGAACAAAGGTCTGATGAATGTCTGCTGAGACTTGGTCATTTTCATTAGCTAGAAAAGTTGTTCACCTGATATGTACTATCAAAGATGGACCATCATGTATTATGCAAATATGCAATAACCCGAAAAATCCCTCAAGCAAAATGATAGGGTATCCTTTTCACTAAAACTTGTTTTAGAGTTAAGTTGCACTGAATCCCTCTTAATTCTAGCAATAAATGGTCAAAATACTTTTGTAAAAACTTTACAAAAATGCTTTATAGCAGTGGTCTCAAATTGCAGTGTTAATTGTATAGCAGTGGTCTGCAGAGGGCCACATGAGGCCCAAGAAGCAATTTTATTCAGTCTGTGAATACTCTTCTTGTAAATTAATTAGCACTATTATGACAAGAATTTGAAGAAAAACATTTTAATGGTTTTGAATGCAATTTTACGTTACTTTTACCACCAAAAATGAAAGTGAGTAACCCTCCAGAATGAATAAATAGAAGCTAATTAATCTACAGTCATACAAATCTTATTCAAAGATTTGAAGATACAAATTTTATCTACTCTTAGTAGGACTTGTCAAATATCCTCAGCTATGAATTTTTGCAATAAAAATAATCACTTTGTCTGGCAGTACATTTACATGTGAATAGTTTTTGTCAGAGTTCAAAATTAATACGTCTATGAAAAGAACCAGACTGCCAAGGAGTATTTATATATATATATATTTTCCTTCCAAGATTATGAACCTTATGAAAATCAAAACACCATGAGGTGTTGCAGGTGAAAGGGGTAGTAAGAAATAAAGAAATTTATACTTATTTACATTCAAATATTATTTGTTCTTTATGCATCATAGAAAAATTTAATAAATAAAAGACAGTAAGTTTGATTATTTATCCTATTTAGTCTACCTTTCCGAAGTTTTATATATTTCTTTTTAGTTCAAGTCAAAAGTAAGTTACTTAGTGGTTACTTTAATACATTAAAATTATTTAAATAAATATCAATCTGAAAATTTTAATATTTAGCTGTTAATGCATTTGAATTACAAATTGTGACCAATGAAATTGCTTGCAGATACCCCAACACCTGGCATCATTAGACTTATTAATATTTTTAGATTTCAGACAGAAAATAAGCATAAATTAATATTTTTTTCTTTGCATTATTTTTATGTTTATGTTTTGACAAATGTACAGTAAGACTTTTTAATTAACAAATTTTGTTTCGTTTAAAAAATTTCTTTTTCTCTTTGTCCACCCCGCCTTTTATTGCAGCCCCTTGGCTACTTACAGATCATACATTTCGCCTATGTGCAATTTGAATTTGAGATCACTGCTTTAAAGCACCTAAGTTAGTGAATACACTTGAATATTCAGTGAAATTCCAATTTTTATTGGTTGCACAGTGCATTCAAAAAGTTCCAAGACTAACTGCATACAGATCATAAAACATGAAGTGCACTTAAATCTAATATAAAGCTTCTACAGTCCCCTCCTAATTTGATCCAATGCTCGGAATAACTGCACGTCTCTAAATGCCTTCTGGAATATCTCCAATTCAACACTATTCAGTTTTCATATCACAGCTACTTCAATCTCTTTTCTCAATTCATATCACTTCGCTTTCATCTTCAATTTCAGTTTAAGAAATTAGTTGTCTGGAGGGATACCTTTATAAGTATGAGGGGTGTTTGATGCTCACAACCAACCTCTTTGCCAAAAACTGCTGCATTAATATGGATTTGTGAGATGATGCATTATCATGCAAGAGGTACCAGTTTCTACCGCCCAACAAATCATATAGAATTTGCAGAATGCCCCAAGCCATAGTGACAAAATTTTCAATGAATGATGCTCCGACTGTCAAAAAAAAGTGATCAGTATCATTTGTATTTTTGATCACACAAAGAGTTTCTTTTTCCCTTCCTCAAATCCTCCATCATGATCTTGAAAGCAGATTTAACACTAGTGCTTAATGACTATGAAGTATTTTTTATTGTTATTCAGCACACAGATCTCGCCAACAAGCTCATCATTTTAACTCGAATATTCACAACCTAATCTCTCATCATCTTCAGTCGAATCTCTTCCAGCTTTAAATAAAACAACAATAACATAATACTTGCAAACAACTTACAGATTCATCACCATATACAGATTTAATCGTTTCATATGTTTCTGTGAAAAGTTTTCAATTTAAAATAAAATTTGATGTTCCTTCAATGCTCCATTTTTTTCAATGACAATGACGCACACACACTTTATGCAAATGAATGCTGTTAAGTCAAAAACAAGACAGAAATGAATGTAACCACTTGATATGAATGGCTAGAAGTCATTGCTACGTCAGATTTTGCCCATATAGCACCACTTGTACTTTTTTTACAAGGAGGATTCTGTAACTTTTTTAATACACAGTGCATTTTACGTTTTTATTAATATTATTTTATTGAGGTAAACTGAGGGCTACATAAAAATTAGTCAAGAGCTGCAAGTTTGGCAATGCCTGATGAGGATAATTAACACCAAACATAGTTACATAAATATTGCAAAACATTTTGCAAAAAATGAAAATATAAATTTTACCTCATAATTTCTTAGGATGCTTGAAGCATTGTTATACTCAACTGCATTTAATGTCTCTTTCTTCTTCAGAGCATAACTGCTCTCAGCTATTCGAAAAAATAACTGTAAAAAAAATGAACAAAAATACATACATAAAACTCATATACATACATATGTATATATATATATATACACACTTTTTATTAAAACAAAACTTAATTTTTACTAATTTTACCTTCTTCATATAAGAAATTAGCTGCTGCCTGAACGATGGAGACTGACAGTTGATGTTACGTGGGAGGCTAAATTTAACTAATTTCAGTGTTTCAAAAGGAACAGGAGCAGTTGTTTTTTGAGTTTCACACAATAATGAAAAAGCAGAGAGGCGTATCTATATTTTGGAGGGAAAAAAGTACTAAGAGTGATGCAGTTTATTCCGAAAATAAAGAATACATTTCTAAAAGATATTTAACTTTTAAATAACAAGATTTAAAACAATGTAATCATTTATTCATATTTCAGTTATAAAAAATAACAAAAAACAAGCATTGAACATAAAATTTATAATATAACAAGATTTGAAACAAAGTAATTATTTGTTTCATTCATAATAAAAATCAATCTATAAATTCTTCACTAAATCAGATACAAAATAAGAAAACTGAAAAACTGTTTAAAAATTATATTTTATGATGTTTAATAAATAATTTAAAATGTATTTCTTTTTTATATAACTTAATTTTATTGGAAGAAATAAGAAATCATTCTGAAATATAAAACTTTGTATATATAATTTTGTAAATATTAAAATACATTTTAATTGTATTTTTTTTTTTTTTTTTTTTTGTTGTTGTTGTTGTTCATTTTGGTGTTTTGAATTTGTAGAAGTTTCATGGTGAGGCAAGACACAAGTATAAAATACATAAACTTTATTTAACACATCAATAATGACATTCTGGTGAGAAGGGGAATTCCCGCTTCATGCACATTGCTGTCTCCTCGCCATCTGCCACTCTTCCGAGGCGGGCATGCGCAAAACTCACAAAACTTTGTACGGTTTTTCCATAGTAACACCACAGAGTATCCTTCCAGTGAGGGAGACCGAACGATACACAGAAAAATATACAGAACTTATATTATACAATGATAAATGTGAAGGTAAAAGGTACAATATAAAACACATAATAAATTAAACTGCATAATGAAATTTGAATAAATAACAATATATATAAATTATATATAGTAGGTGGTAGACAGATGTTGAGGGAATTTCACATATCGTCCAGATTTTGTGATAGTTTTAGGAACATGTGACATGGTAGGTTTCAGTGTGTCTGTCTTATTGGAAGGTTTAGTGTTAGGGACAAGGATTTTATCACTAATGAAAAATGCAGGTTTGAGTTGATCAATTGAAACAGTTTGATTTTTACCATGCACAGAGCTGATAAAGGTTTTATCATATCGCTCAATGACTGGATGAGGACCTGAGTATGGTTGTTGAAGAGGAGGCTTGATGGAGTCAATTCTCAAATAAACATGAGAGAATGATTTTAAAGATGGATGAATGTGGATAGGCTCTGAACAGTGTTTTGATATTGCAATGGGAATCAGAGATTGCATGCTAGATCGTAAACGATTTACATATGTTGGTGTCAGGGATGGCGGAGAAAGCTGATCTAAGCACAAAATATCTAAAGGCAGTCTTAAGGAAGTACCATAGAACTCAGAACTCAGAACTAAACTCAGAACTCAGAACTAGAACAAGTTGCTTGGATGTTGTCTTTGACGGAAGATCTAATACCCAAAAGTATAAGAGGTAACGATTCTGTCCAGTGAGGATTCTCTTGCGATTTTATGCTGTTTTTCAGTTAGCGATGAAAACGTTCAATGATTCCATTTGATTGAGGTCTATAGGCAGTGGTACGAATACGATGAGTGCCCAGCAAGTTTGTGAACTCCCTGAAAAGGTGCGATTCAAAGTTCTGACCCTGGTCAGTAGTGATAGCGCATCCGAAACGAGCTATCCATCCACTAATGAGAGCTTTACAAGTTTTTTCAGCCGACATATCAGATGTGGGAATTACTTCCGGCCATCGTGTGAAGCGATCGATTATGGTAAAACAATACTGATAACCTTCAGAAACTGGTAATGGGCCAATAAAATCTATGTGGATATAAGAAAATCTGGCATCAGGAAGTAAAAATGTCGAAATGGGTGATTTTGTATGCTTGTGTATCTTGCAACATTGACATTTCTCACAAACCTTCACAGAGTTTTTGATAAAAGTGTGCAAGTTAGGCCAAACGTAACGTCTGTGTATCAATTTTGAAGTGGCAGATATACCTGGATGCGAAAGGTTGTGAATACTTTGGAAGATTATAGGTCTAAATGAAAAGGAAATGAAAGGACGAGGGACATCGTGAAGTCACAATAGAGATAAATATCTTCAAGCAGAAAATACTGTTTGGAGAGCTTCAAAGAAGATTTAGAAGTTAGTAATTGTTGTACTTCATGGTCTGTGAGTTGTGCTGAATCTAACTGTTTGAAATCTAGAACAGGTGAGCGAGAAACAGAGTCTACTTCTATTCGGGAGAATGTGTCAGCAATAACATTTTCCCTACCTTTAACATATTGTATATCAGTGGAAATTGAGAGATATAGTCAAGGTGTCTCAGTTGTCAAGGAGAGCACTTTTCTGCTTTTTGTCTGAAAGCGAATGTTAGTGGTTTTTGGTCGGTAAATATGATGAAGTTGCGACCTTCTAACAGGTGCCGAAATTTCCTGATAGACTCATACATTGCCAAAAGTCCGTGGTCATATGTAGACCATTTCCATTGACTGTTATTAAATTTTAAAGAAAGGAATGCTATTGGCTCCCATTAACCATTTTAGAGTTGTCTTAGAGAGCTGCCTATAGCAACATCAGATGCATCGGTCCAAAGACTGAGTTGAACACCAGGAATTAGGTGTCTTAAGAGGGTAGCTTTTGTAAGAGTTCTTTAGCTGCTAAAAATGCCTTTTTGGCATCCTCGGAACACAGGAGAGGATTTTCAGTCTTTTTAGTTGGACAGAATGATTTCTTTTTGTTAGAATGATCTTCAAGAAGCTTAATTAAAGGTGACAAAATGTGCGCTGCATGTAGCACAAATCTGCGATAAAAATTGAATAGGCCAAGAAATCTGCGAAGCTGTGTTAAGCTTGTTGGTCTAGGAAATTTAGAAATGGCATCAACTCAATCCGGAACGGGAGAAATACATTTTTTAGAGACTTTATATCCTAAGAAATCTAAGGTAGGAATTCCAAATGTACACTTTGAGGGTTTGATTGCTAAACCATAATGATATAATCTTTGAAAGAGAGCTCTTAGATTGTTAATATGCTCTTTGTGGCTTTTTGAGGCAATCAAAATATCATCAATAAATGCATATACACTGGTTAAACCTCTCGTCACTTCATCGATAAACCTTTGAAAAGTGCTTGATGCATTGCACAAACCAAATTGCATCTGAGTACTCTCGAAAAGTCCAAATGGTGTGCAGATAGCAGTTTTATGGACATCCTCGGGAGCAATCGGAATTTGATGAAATGCTTTAACTAAATCTACATGGGAGAATATGTTGCACCCATGGAGTTCACTTGTGAAATCAACAATACTAGGGATTGGACATTTGTTTTTTTTAGTCTGAGCATTAACTGCTTTAACATCACCGACAGGACGCCAATCAGACCATATGCAATGACGAGGCAAAATTGCTGTTGGATGGGCGAATGGGGCCTAAATCTAACAGATGCTGAAATTCCATTTTGGCAATTTTCAAACGATCGGGTGCAAGCTGGCATAGTTTGGAAAAAACGGGAGAGCCAAAAGTTTCAATATGATGCTGAACTGAATGTTTGACAATTTGGTTTGCACAAGGAGCTTGAACAATGCGAAGAAATTCATTTGACAACTTAGCATAATAATTATTACAAATTACACATTTTATTGAATATATACTAGCAACATGTAAAATACCATAAAAATTTAATTTCGTGTAAGTATCGTTTAAGCGACGGTTTCTAAGATCTGGTTGCAGGTTAAAATAATGCAAGAAATCTGCACCGATTATAGCAGTTTGAACATTGCATACATAAAAAAAAAATAAAAAAAATAAACAAACTGTTTCTTAAACCTAAATCTAAAGATAATAACTTTTGTTTATATACATTTATCTTAGTACCAGTTGCAGTCAGAAAAGTTTGAATAGTAGTCATTTTATCAGATCTTGAGGCTGGAATTAAGGAACACTCACCACCTGCATTAATTAAAAAATTAATATTGGTTTTGCGATCACGAACAAATAGGTGAAGAGAACTAGAAGGCAAGGCGTATGTCGCCATTACTCCTTGCCCTGGAAATTTCCCTGAAAATTGCACGGTGGAGTACACTTTTTTGCTCTAGAAGCACATTTTTGGTGGTACCAACATAGATCAGACAGAGGATTTCTCATGGTTAGTTGCATGACAAAAATTACGATTACGACAATGACTTCTTGAACGTCATAGAAATGCAACTTCCTTGCAAAGCGATTTTATCTCTTTAAGCAGTTCAGAGTTCGGTAACATTAGATGATGCACAAGAATCAGAAACTTCACTTACCTGAGCAGATGACACTTCCATTATTTTATCCGCTACTTCAGCAGTCTTTTGTGTGGTTAGACGGGTGATTGATGCTAAAATAGATTGCACATTTGTAGGTAGTTGCTGCAGAAATAATTCCAAAACAAAAGTATCCGTCACATTATGATTTTCTGCACGCCGCTGCATAAGGCATAAGAGTTCAGATGTCTTTCGATCCCCTAGTTGCTCACCAGCAAGTAAGCAACATATTTCCTGCGATTTACTTTCACCACAGTGAGAAATTACTTCATTCTTCAGTTTCCTATATGAATCCGTTTGGTCAGGAGAAATGATGATATCCCTCACGGTCATAGCGATGTTGAGAGGTAAATGCGCCACACAGTGGTTATACTTGGTTCTGGATTCTGTTATAGCCTTTGGAACCGCTAATTCAAAAGTAGATTTCACCATCGTGAACCATAGAGATGGATCAGAAGGAATGAAAGGAGGTATTTTCACTGCTGATATTTCGATGTTTTTGTTTAGTTCCGTTTTTGTATTTTGTCCAAATTCCAAGAAACGATCAAAAGATGTGCGTTGTCCAACATCGGTCACCAATGTAGAAGTTTCATGGTGAGGCAAGACACAAGTATAAAATATATAAACTTTATTTAACACATCAATAATGACATTCTGATGAGAAGAGGAATTCCCACTTCATGCACATTGCTCTCTCCTCACCGTCTGCTGCTCATCCGATGCAGGCATGCACAGAACTCACAAAACTTTGTACGGTGTTAGCAACACCACAAATTGTTTTATTTATTTACTGTTCTTACATTGATAATTTTTTAGTTTATCTTGTTCTTAATTTAATTAATAACCACATGTCTTGCATTTAAATGTTTATATGTAACACAGAGTCCTAAATCTTTTAATTTTGAATGCAGAAATGTTGGAATGATAAAAATAGCTGAATTAAAAAGAGGATGGAAAGCTATATGTGTATGGAAAAATATACTGAAAGAATCACAAAAACACATTTTTTAAGACCTACTGTTGCAGAGATTTCCAAAGCCCAGGCATAAGTACAAAAAGAATACAGAGAATAGAAGAAAGATGGAAAGCAAGTTCAGGTGTGAATCAGCTATAAGATTTAGCATTTTAGTCAAATTACAGGTTATCTATCATAAGAGTGATTTGAACTCTATGAGATAAGCATTAATTGCTGAACACTCCTGTTCTCCAGTTATTTTCAGCTACTTATTGTGCTGTATATGCTATTTATTGTACTTATTTTCACAATAAATTGTTCCTTTCTTCCAGCTTATCCAGACTTATTCAGAAGTCAAACAATAAAAATCAGCGTTATATTTACAAAATTTTTACAGGACTAGTTTCGATGGTTTTACCGAACCACCATCTTCAGCTGCAAAACCGCAAATGAAAATTTTGTAAATATAACGCTGATTTTTGTTGTTTGACTTCTGAATTAGTATTTATTCGGCATGTTATTGTGTCTTAATTATCCAGACTTATTATTTAAAGAAACATCAATGATCCTATAGCTTGCAGCAATGTGCTGCACACACACATATATATGTGCATTGAAAAGACAAATTTGTACATACACTATTCACCACCTGGTCACTTCACCTTTTGCATGGATAACATAGCAAAACATCTGGGAAGGAATTCAATGAACTATTGAGGGCAAGGTAGTGGTATTGTTACCCAGTGATCCTGCAGTTTCTGCCATAAATTTATCCCAAAGCATGGTGTTGAATACAGAGAGTAAAGAGACCATTTCAGCTCATCTCACAAATGATCAAGAAGTTTTATATTTGCAGACCCTGCAGGCTAGATGAGTATTCCAACCTCACTTTTAAACTTGACTAATGTGGTGATAGCTACCATCCAATGGTGGCATGATTTGGTAGACTGTAGTCATAGCAATTAATGTTTTACCATTAGCAGTGGAACCAGAGATGGTCATCAACTATTTAATCGAGTTGTATCAGTCACTGACAAATGACCTTTGTGCAAATGACCTTTTCAAATCTACAGTAATCTAACATACAGTTGAGCTTCTTGCTATCAATACAATAGGACTGAGTATCTGAGCACCTCAAAACATCAAACTCTAATGTGTGGCCACATTTTGCACAATTCCCACTATTTTTCTGCTTTTAAGGTATTTTTGGTATACCCATGCCACAGTACTGCACAACATGCCCAATAATTCACTGGTTGCTGATACTGAACAACCAGCCATGCAAGCACTGACAATTTGTCCAAAAACAAATTTGCTTAGATTGCTGATTTCTGTGGATACAGGGATCTTCAGTGCATCCAACGAAGCTTTGATATTTATACCCTGTAGCACCAACAACAGCCAGACATTCACAAGTCATTCATTTCCATTGTACAAATTTATATGGTCGCAACACAGCTGTATATAATAATTTGTCTTCTTACTGAGTGTATATGTGCGTGTATGCGATGATTTAAAAGTTGTTGACATGGAGGTATAGGTAGTTGAGTAAGATGTTAGCAGTCATGTCAATTTCGCATTTATTTTTTATTCTTAAGAAGTATATTTGTAACTTGAAATATAAAGTGCAATAGATGCAAACTGCACATTCATTTCAGATCAGATTTGTGTTTTTTACACCATTAAAATAATAAATTTCAGTGGAGTAAAGTAAGTGTAGCAGCACATAGAAAACAAGTTCATAAAATGGAAGACAGAGAGAATGCAATTTATTCAAGACATAATCCCCACTTGGAGTGATTTATTTTTTGGTTCACCTTTATTTTGCTTGGTAATTTCAAATGTCTGAAATCATTATTGGTTAAAACTTTATATATGTATGTGCATCATTAGCACTATGCAAAACCCATATGACATGGATAAATTTCAAAATGATGCAATTTAGAGGGATTTATTACATGCAGTTATTGTTATTAGAATTAAAAGGGAAAACACCCAAATAAACACGTAAATTTAAGACACTATGCAAATTAAAGTAAGAATTTTGATTTATATATTTTTCGTCTTACACCCACAAACACACACATATAAAACAAAATTCTAACTTTAATTTTGCTAACTCTTTAAGTCTTCTTTTTATTTTGACTGTTTCCCTACATATTCTAAAAAATAATGATATTCTTATGAAAACTATTCCTCAAATGTGTTATTTTGAAATTAATCATATCATATGGTTCTTATACCAGTTCATAATATACATCACATAATTGCTAGACATAAATCTAATATTTATCATAAGTAATTACGTTGAGATTCTAAAAATTATCGCAATAAGTTTTGTTGATTGGGCAACTCAAATTATAAACATAACATTGTCCCTGCCCTTTTCTGTGGATATTTCTTTTAAGAAAATTAGTTGTAACTTAGTTGAAATTAATTATTTATTTTAATACATTATTATCTTTCTAAGACAGGGGAAAATAAAAAGAAACTCATATAATTAAAACTATAAAGAAGCGATAAAAAAAAATTCGTCACCTGATCATCAGCATGACACAATGCTTTCATTAAAATTTCAGTTGATAACATCTCATTACTTTTGGAAATTTTGAGCTTTTCAGAAAATTTTACACAAGCGATTAAGGCACTAAAGCAGTTTCCTGTAAAAATTTATACCCCAGTTACAAATTAATATATAATCTTATTTCAATTAAAATTTTCAAGCTTACAAACAAGAAATTAATTTTCAGTGATAGATAATAATAAGAAGGAGTTAATCCTCCAGATCACAAAGTTTTTCTTAAATGATGAGAAAATAACAACAAAGAAAAAAAATTTCATCTATAGTTGTCGCTTCTTGATTCCTTTCTTTTCAAAATACCAGGTGCATCATAAATTCATGCAAAGTTCAAAAATTCGTAATAAAAGAAGGAATGCATGGAAAAATTTTCTGTTTGCGCCAATATGGTCAGAAAGACATTGGATTTTTTTCCATGCAAAAAAAAAATAATAAATATATGTTTCAGTAACCAACAGAGGGTGCTCATACGTCATACTGAAACGTTTTATTCAAATCAAGCAAACAGAAACAGACAATCAAACAGATCACAATAACATGACACTATGCATTTATTTTATGGTAACAGATGTTCAACATCGCCATCATAAGGTAATAGGCAAGTGAGGCGCATCACTATGCCCATTAGAGTGGAGTGTAGCATGTCGCCATTGATGGCAGCGACAGTCGGTCAAATGGCATTTTTCAGTTCCACCAGTGTGGTTGGGGAATACCGGTACACACAAGACTTTAAGTATTTCCACAACCAAAATTCTGCAGGGTCAAGTCTGGTGAGCTTGAGGGCCACTGAATCTTACAACGCTACTTATCACTCGGTCTTCGGTTAAAGATTCCAACAGAAACGTCTTCACGTCGCGTGCAATGTGGGACGGGGCACCATCCTGCATAAAGGTGACAACAGCTAATACATGTCTTTCCTGCAATGCAGGCACAATGTGGCCATGCAAAAGCATAAGATACTGTGCTGCAGTGACTGTACAGGTTTTCACACTGGATACAGGATAGGGTTCTTCAAACAAGAAAGGGTTCACAATAAAAGATGCGGTGAAATGACACCAAACAGTCACATGAGAAGAATGCACTGGCTGGCTCTGGTACTCACGAGGGTTTGACAACAGAAGAAATTGAAACAGAAATTTTTTCTGCACATTCCTTCTTTTATTACAAATTTTTTTAACTTTGTACGAATTGTGGGTTACGTTCCATTTGTGCCAGCACACATGTAGCAAACTTTTGTCTTGTGTCTGTATCTGCCGGTAATAACTGGTGAAGTCGCAGGATTTTGTATGGATACAGATCGATCCAACATTCCGTGCAGAATACGTCAAATCAAAGATTTCGGAATCCCCCATTCTTCTCTCAGCTTCACGAGCACTGCTACTCCCCGTTGATGTCTTGGCTGCCATATCTTTCATGACACTTGGACACGGTCCGCTCTCAAGGGTGGTCTGTCACTTCGTTGACAATCCTTCAAACTCCCCATTTCCTCAAAACGTCGTACTAAATTCCGTATCCCATTCAATGGAATAGGGCTTTTTTGCGAATTCAGTCCTTTCTCTGTGCAAAACTTTTGCAATATAACAGTTGTGGATTCACCATTCTTGTACAACAATTTCACCACCAACGCCCGATATAGCATACTGCCGGCTTCGAATGACGAATCCGCTTCCAGCCAAGTGTTTTACTGACAACCTGATTTGCATAAAACATCTCAGTATGACGTGCGAGCGCCCTCTGTTGGTTACTTTTGGAAACTTTTTTTTTTTTACATGGAAAAATCCAATGTCTTTCTGACCATACTGATTGAAACAGAAATTTTTTCTGCACATTCCTTCTTTTATTACAAATTTTTTTAACTTTGTACGAATTTATGACGCACCTCGTACATTTACAAAAATACTTTCCTGAAATTTCTTAAATAACTAAAGCAGAAATATGTTACAAAATTCAATTTTTCAGATTATAACAAAAATGCCAATACATAAAAGGACATAGCTATTATATAGTGTATGTATTTAGCAAAACAAAACACTATTAGTAAAAAATAAGTATTTGCAATGTTAATAAATATTGTAATAAAAAATCTGCTGAAATATGAGAGAAAGAAAGCTTGAACATATATATATATATATATATATATATATATATACACACACATACACATACATGCATATATAATTTAATATCAATCGTTTCAACTGAGATAAATTCATGCAGAATAACAACTCTTACTTTCATTCAATTCTGAATGTTATTCTTGTACAAGATAGGGAAGCAAAAATCTGATCATGCAAAAGGAGAACAGATTTGATGATACAAAATTTTGATTTAATAATATTAAACAAAATGCAATTGGGTATTAATTTAAAAGATAATTTATTTCAATAAAAAATATTTCATTTTTTGAGAATTTTCCCTGCAACTTACTTCAAATAATCTCAACTACATTTAAATTTATTATTAAGTGCCAACTGATTTTATCAGCACTTATTAAACTTTTTAGACTGAGCAGAAACAACCTCTTTAAGCAATTAGAATATATACAAAACAAAGAATAATTTTCATAAACAATATCAAAATACCAAGCAGCTAGTGGTTTTACTTTTCCACCTTACTTCTCTTAAAAAATAAAAGCTATATAAATTCAATTTTCAACATAAAAAAGTATGCTAGTAATACTTACCAATATTATTTTCCCACATGTAGGATAATTCAGACATTAAGAAATGTATTGAAAATGGCTTGACTTTCAGAAGTTTAGGAAAAATATGCTGAAATGAAACTATTACATAAAGATAAAAGCACTTTTTTGAAGAAAATACTTTTTTGTAAATAAAATCTAAATATTATATATATATTGATAAGACTATGCCAATTGCATACCAAACATTATATATACTTCTTCTTTTCCTTTACTGTACAGTATATAGTAACAAAAACCACACCATTTCATTTAACATCAGTGCTATAACAGTCATTTAAATAAATTCATCAAAACAAAAATTTTCAAACTTAAATCTAATAAAAACACACTTTTTTAGAGTTATGTAAACTCTTATTACATAGACTATTATTAAAGTTTTACATAGTTATGTAACCTTTTTTAAAACTACATAGACCTGCAGCATAATTTGTCCGTAGTAACTGCCCAAATGACATTTTTACAGCTTTGAAAATGTGCATTTTAAAGTACATTTTTAATTAATTGTTTATTAATTTTTAATTAACCATTAAATAAAATTAATTAAATTATATTCAACTTAAATTCTATAAATATAAAAAAATGAATAATAAAAAATATTTCTTGTAAATTATATGCACATCTAGTTAGAAATGTTATTACTTATTTATTAATATTGCTTATACTTATTTAAGAAATTTTATTAATTATTTATTTATGTACATATAATCATCAACAAAAATATTTATAATTCTTTTATAGCTTACAAATGTAAAGATTTATAAGTAGTATGATTTGCAAGCTTAAATTCTGGATTAGATAATTTTTTTCTACAAAGTTCATTTGCCTGCAAGTTAACTTTGTCAATGAGAACAGCTTCAAGAGTTTTTGTATCTGAACTTAGTCATGGTCGAAAGCAGAAAGAATTTTATACAGTTCATTACAGTCAGAGCAAAGAGAGTAAAATTTTAATTAATAATTAATTTCAAATCTCTGAAATAATTTAATTACTTCATCCACAGCAATCATTTGTTCTTTACTTCCAGAGCACAAACATTTTAAAAGGGGATTCAGCCAAACATGCTGAAAGTTCAGTTCATCTGCAGATGAATGTTTAAAGAGGCTTTCACAAACATCAGAAATCTGCAAAATATATGAGTACATAAGTTTTAGTCACATAAAAATACATCATTTTTATTTTTTACATTTAAAAAAAAAATGCTTTTTATCAATATGCACATAATATTTTCCCACTACATACATTTTTTAATTAAAGAAAACTTAAATGACAATAAATTTAAAATATTTTTAAAAAATATGTAAATGAGTGTAAAATTTTTGTTATAAGTATATTCAAATTGACATGAACAACTCCAACAAAACTCAAATATGCAGACACAGATCAGTCACATTCCTCATCACTTTAGTAGTTAACTTGTATAACACTATTGTTTCATGAAAAGCAGTTCTCATGCTTTTGGGTCAATGATTTATTACTACATTTTAAAAGGATTTTTTTTTAAATAAATCTGAAATCATTAGTTAGTAATAATGTTATAATACTGAGTTATTTTAGAATTTTTTTAATTTCTTCAGTATTTTGGGAATTCGTAAAGATACAATATTATATACAATGTTACTTTAAAAAGTTTTTAAAACTTTGGAAATATTTTCATAAGAAAAATATTTGCAATCAAACATATATTTATTAGATACATACATATAAAATATACACATAATTAAAAAGGTTATATAAAATGTTGTCAATACAAACAGAATTAAGCATCTTAAGAGTTACATGGAAAATCATTAAAATTAAAAAAGTGACAATTAAGGATCTCTTCATAAAAGATTCAAGAGAAAGTAATTTAAAAAACACTTTAAGTGTTACAAGGGTTCATGCTTAATGTCCAAACCTGGCTACACAAATGCATTTACACTTTTGCTAAAAAATAGGAAGGAAGTGGTTGTTTTTGATGAAACTGAAAATGTGTATAGTTCATACACAGATAATACAATGATTAAAAAATCAAGGCCATAGTACCTGTTCACGGCTCACAATTACCCATTGAGTATTCAAATTAGTAGTTGATCAAAACGCCCCTGGCGTTAATACATGCTTGAATTCGTTGAGGCAAGGAGTGGTAGAGGTTGCTAATGTCATCCTGCAATACATTCTGCCAAGCATTCATCAGTTGTTGCTCCAGATCTGCGACATTTCGACATTTTGTGGTGCCCGAATCTGGCGGCCTACCATGTCCCAAACATGTTCGATTGGTGAAAGGTCTGGTCACATTTCTGGCCAAGGAAGAGAATCAACAGCATGAAGACAGTCCATAGATATGAGAGTGGTATGTAGCCTGGCATTATCTTGTTGGAAAATGGCCCCAAGATGACATGCCCGGAATGGTAATGCAGCCAGCCGCTGGATGGTATCAACATATCATTGAGCTGTTAAAGATGTACGGAAGATAACTAAAGATGACCTGCTGTCATAAAAAATAGCACCCCACACCATCCCACCAGGGGTTATGGCTGTATGCCTTTGTAAAACAAAGGCTGTTTGGAACCCCTGGCCCCGTCCTATCCAAACACGAACACGGTGGTCATCTGCTTGAAGAGCAAAGTGGATTTCATCGCTGAACACTATACGATGTCAGTCTGATAACCGCCATGATGATTGGCTACGATAACACTCCAGAAGACTCTGACGATGTTGTGGGGGTCAAAGGCAAACATCTTAAAGGCCTCTGTGAGCGTAATCCTGCCTCAGACATGCGCCGTGAGATGGTGGACGGTACCACAGAAGATATAGATGTGGCTGTAGTGTGTTGAATACTCAATAATGATACCGTTGGGGCAGTTCGGGCCTGGCGAACAATCGTCCTATCTTGCCTCGCATTTGTGCTCCTTGGCCTTCCAGAGCCTTCATTTCATCAGCAATTTCCTTGTAGCAAACATTGCTGCCAACATCTTTGCACAGCAGTGTCTGTACACTGCAGGTGGCGCCTATTGCTTGGCATAACAACCCAGCTTCAAGCAACCCTACAATGCGACCACATTTGAAGTCGTTTAGTTGTCTGTAAGGTTTTCGATATTGTCGTAATGGCATCTTTAGTTGCTTCTTTATGGAAATAAAATGGCAGAAACAAAAAAAGATAAATTTTCCACCTCTGTTACTGGTTTTACACTTTGCAAATTGTACACTGGAAATGTGTGCTATAATCGCAATTCCTGTTCATTTGCCTTGAAACTTTGATCATTTGCATGTTCGATCAAGATGCTTTTGCATACCAAATTTCATCACGATCGCAAACGTTCTTCTTAGTGCTTCGATTTTTTTTGGAAAAGAGTGTATTTAATAACCTCTTTTCTAAAACAAGGAAATACTTATAACGGCATTAAAAAGATACACAAACTATATCCTTTTACATAACAATATATAGTCACATCACAATATAACTAGTGTATGAAAAGATAATGCATTTTTACTCATATAGAATGCTGCATGCAATTTCTGACATTCATAGTTCCTAACTTCTTTTCTTTTCTTATATTCGTGTTTTTTTTTTTTTTTTTTTTTTTTTTTTTTTTTCCCAATAAAGTGTCATTATTTTTCCCCTTCCCTGTAATGCAGTGAATAAAATACAGCAGGAGTATCAAAGATATAAATTTTTACATCAGTAGAACCTGCATATTAAAATTTAAAAATATGCAGGCAGCTTTTTTTTAACAGCCCAATCTCGAAATTTAAATAACTTCAAAAATATTAAAAATATTTGTGAATAAATGAGAAATCTTAAAAATAAACAAAAAGGATTCAATATTTTCTAATGATTTTTCACACATCCCCAACCTATAACTGTCAACAAATTTTATTATGAGAAAACTAAAATAAAAAAAAGATGAAATATTCACTATAACAATGAAACAAAACAAAAAAATTCTAGAAGAAAATGCATTAATCTTAAAAAGCATTACAAATAAATTATCATAATAAAATAAATGATTACAAAAAGTGTAGCATGTGTACGTGTTCATAATAGCTTGAATGCACAAGTTCATAACAGCTTAAATGCACAAGTCCAAGAAAAAGTTAATAAAATTTTTTCTTATCACAAGAAATATAGCAAAATGCTGGAATTTTCCTCAAAGATATTCATACAATATCACAATATCATGCAATATAATCAGTAGCTATACTTTAAACTGCTAAAAACGTTAAATAGAACACAAAGCACAGAGAAAGCTATTCTGATCAACATAAACAACAACAGCTCACTAAACAAATGAGCTGAGATGTTCTCTCTCTGGCTTTTTTAAACCAACCGCACGAGACAGTTCTAGCAATTTCTGGAAAGCAAAAAGAGTAGAATTATGGTTTCAGCTAACATAGGAGTCAATTACATTTATTCAAATTAAATATCAATTACAGAGTTAAACTTTTCTTCAATGTTAAATGCATATGCTCTTGTATTTTTACTTTTCCGGCATAGCTTTCCTTTAAAATTTGTCACGTTTTTCTTTGCACAGGGTAATAAAAAGATTTTAATTAAAGTTCTACTAAAAATATCTAACTAAATACAAAATTTGTAACACAGCCCCCTTTTTAAAGGACTGCATGTCCCAGGCAGTATAATGCCTGGACAGAAAGCCAAACTTACAACTAAGGCATCAATGCAACAATAAACATTACATTACAATAACAAAAAACATAAACAATAATTGCAATAAGTAACTTGAAACAAATCAAATACTAAATAAAAATCAAATCGAATACAAAGTTAGAAACAAAAAGGACCATGGCCTTATACTGCTAACCTGTTGTAATGAACAACTTTAGGTTTAGAGTTTGATGACCACAACGTCGTTCAACCTGTTTAGGACTGTATGTGTATGGACCATCCCAAGGTGACTGTAGCTTAGGACAGAGTCCTGGACCATCCCAAGGTGACTGTAGTTTAGGACAGAGTCCTTTCCATCAAGTCGGATTCCACAATCACAACTTGTCTGCTTCGTTGAATCGATGTCCAGTGGCTCTCATGTCATATAGGGGTCTTCATTTTCTCTGTCGCAAAGTTGACTCACTCTCGTGCAAAATTGTGCATCACTTCAAACCAGGCCTGGAGATCTTGGATGTATTCCTATGGGATGAAGGCACATCTGGAGGGCGACCAGACAAGAGATCATAAAGCAGACAAAGATCATGACCGATGAGCATCTGAAATGGAGAATAGCAGGTAGTCTCGTGCTTCTCTTTGACCCTAGTATGATTTCAGCAGCTCCCTGAGCAGGGTCTTGCAGACAAAGTGTTGGCATTTCCAGATGAGGATCCCTCCTAATGATGGATAGTTATGTCCTCTGATGCTGAAAGTAGTTTGTTATTTTTGAAGTCCAAGGAAAACTTGTATTTCCTTAGAAAGTTCAATCCGAGCATGCAAGGATCTGTATTATCTGCTGCATATGCCCTGTGAGAGTAAGCGGCACTTCCAAACATGATGTTCACATTTAACTTCCCATCTATGTTGATTTTATCACTAGAGGCAGTCTGGAAGGTAGCACAGCATGGCGTCCAAATGAGTTTATCTTTAAACTGTTCAGCTAAACCTTCAGCAATATTAGCTCTGTGTCAATGGTCACATAGCAAGGAACTCCATCTATTGATGAATAGTCCATTAATGTTGCCACTCACTGCAGAAATCTTGAGCACTTTAAAATAGGGTTTTTCACTATCATTCAAACTCCACTCCATGATATGGTCATTAATTTGTTTCCTGCATTATTGCTGAGAAATGGTCTTATTTTCTGTGCCCTGCAGTTCCTTCATGTGAGGCCTTGAGCTCTGCAGTTCCAGCACTTCTTTCACTTCTTTCTCCAGGTTTCTTGTCACTCCTTTTCTGTCTTATGTCATTTAACTGTCTGTTTAAATCGTCTGTGTTCTGGGGTGTTCTGCAGTTCCTTTGCATGTGGCCTTCAGCACCCCGATTCCAGTACTTAAGGGTCAGTTTCTTGTCACTAATATTCTGTCCCAAGGAACTGACTTGTCTGGCAAAATAAATTGTTTTATTTTCCGTCCCCTTGGGTGTTCTGCAATTTTATCGCATGTGGCCTTCAGTGCCATATTTCCAGCACTTTACAGCCAGTTTGTTCTCACTCCTACTCTGCATCAAAGCACTGACTTGTCTGGATCAATCATCTAAACGAGCCATCAATTCTCCACTGGCTCGTGGACTTGCACAGCTCTCACTGGTTGGCAGTCTCTACAAGTTGCTTGCTGAGCTGCCTCTAATTTCATGGCATACACCAGAACACTTTTTAAGTCCTTGACATCCAACATTTGTAGAGCTTTCTGTACTTTAGGATCCCGGATGCCGTCGATATTCCTTGTACGACAGAGCACACTCTGAAAAGGCAAGATGTGACAGCCTTTTAACATCCGTGGCAAGTTCCTGGAGTGTTACCGTGGGGTTCTGTTGATGGAATTTCTGCCTATGAGGAAGAATGTCTTTATAGAAAGCTTTCTGAGGGAAACTGGCTCGTATTCATGTTATTCATGCGAAAAACCAACCATACAGCCAGCCTGTTTACCTGGATTGAAATCCAAGCCATGTCAAACTACTAGTATTCAGCAGTCTTAACTACTCAACCACTGGTGGGCTTCTGTATTCAATCCAAAAAGAAATACTACTAATAAAAAATAAACACTGAATTTCAATTCAGTTAATCCAAGTGTACTAAAACATACATGTGCAACAGATATCCCTGGATTGCCCCATAAATTATTTTTGGTGATATTATGGCATAAATATTTGGGGTGCAGATAATAAGAAAGTATCAAATAATAATTTAGTTTTTGTAACTAATATGACAACCAACATAATGGAGATATGCTAGCCTTAAAACATTTAATTTAATAAATATAATCTGGACCAACAGTTATATGTTACTTTTCCTACTGCAAGCTGCAATTATGGCATACTCATAGTATGCTGCCCAACAAGTATAGTGGTTAGTGTCGCTGACTGCCATGCTGAAGGGCCCGATCCAAATCCCAGAGAAGGTATGGATGGATGTTTGTAAATGTATAGTGTCCATGCGGCATGGAGGCACTCTATGCAGCAAGTCAAAAGTTCTCTCAAGAAGTTGGTGGTAAGGGAAGAGAGGTGGAAGACCCTTGGACCTCCCCCCCCCGAGTGCTCTCCATCAAAATTGAGGACGGAACTGAGCTCTTGCACTGTCACCTGTAAGGTGCTCAAGGTTGTTGTCAATGACCAGGCGTATCTTGCACTCCTTTCCACAAGGAATTTCATTAGCTTGGGTTGACTATAGGTCAGACAAGTGAGCATTAGTCAACAACAGCAACAAAATCCATAGTATTATTTGGAATGATCTAAGACAGGTTTTTGGCACCATTTGGTGCTGATGTATATGTCTTTGTTGCTGTCTTAATAGGTGACATTTATTTAAACAGTAGCTTTGCTATGGTAGTAAGTGATAAAAATTGAATTCTTTATCTTTTGTTTAGCATTCAGTCAATTAGCACACAATTATGAATATAATGCAATTTAAAAAACTAAACTATTGTTGGATAAAAACATTTACTATAACATAGCAATATTTTCTTGTAATTTTTCTTGACTGTAATTGTTATTTAAAAAAAAAATTCTTGTTACAACTCAATCAACATTTAATGAAGCAAAAATCTCTGTTACTACCCTGAGCTATAATCACTTATGTCTATTGCACAACATGAGCACATAAATCACATTTTCAATCCTAAGCAAAATTTATTTGCCTATTTTAAATATAAAAACTCTTTAATACCTTCAGATCAGCACTGCTCAAACAAACTAAGTTATGATTATGCATCTTAAAATAAGCTTGGCATAAAGTAGTCTGTATGCTAATAAAAAAATATCAGTATTACATAAATCTGTTTCCCTGATACTTTTACTTTTTTACATAAAACATATGTCGTAACAATTTAAGATAACATTACGAATTGTTTGAAAACTTAAATCTTATAACATAAAACAATGGCGATAAATTAGTCAACAATCTATGCCAAATATGATACAAGAATTAAGCACATCACTAAAGCAAATTACAAATGTTGAGTACTTACATGGGTGACAAGACTGACTTCTGTTAATGCTTTATACAATTCTTCTGGTAATGATGGATGCCAAATGAGAATTTGTTCAGTTCCAATTATTTCAACAATGCAACTTACCAAACCATACTTGCCACGGTTATGATATGGTAATTCTTTTAACAAGAAAAGTGCCAGTTCCTTTATCAATGGACTTTGGCATGCTTCTAAATTTTAGGAAGAAAAAATACACAATAGCTTAGGTATTAAAATGCAAATATATAAATTACAAGTGGTAAAAATGGTAGATTAAAAAAAAAATTTAATTAGATTCAATACGAAATAACTATATAAAAACTATAATATTTTTTTAGATATATTAGAATCTATCTGATCATTTTTGTGGGCTGATTAGTTACTAATGCACTTATTTTTAAACTTTGTATACATTAAGATTTTACAGCAAAATAATCTGATGAATTTAGGGAAAGGAAAAGTTGTTGCACTATTGTACAAATCAATAAATTTTAAAGAAGTAACAGTAAAAGAATACTTTTTAAATTTTCTAATTACTGTAAATGGCAACACAATTTGATTCAGAATTTTCAAACCATCTTATGTCATTAGATATTGCAAATATTTAGCTTAATTTAATTTCTCGATTACTGTTTTATTTAAGATTTTTGGCCTTTTAGGCATCATCCAGGTGCCAACCGTGTGCCAATGGTGTTTATTAACGATGTGCCAATGGTGGTATTCTACTAGAACAGAGGATCTCAAAATCTTGTTTACCTCACACACTCCCTTTCACCATTCCTAGATCATCATGCCAAGTTTATTTGCCCAAGTTTAATAAAAACTATGATTTTTAAATATGTAGACTTTTAAAATTTCATAACATTTATTAGTACAATAAATTATAAATAATTTTTAGCAAATATAACTAAAAACATCCTGAGAAATACTTGTAAATTGTGATTAAAGAAATAATTATAAACAATAAATACACAGTGGATGATCTAAAAATAACAGAAAAAGTAAAATTTTAGTAATCTGAAAAGTATAGATAGTAGCGTGAAGTGGTTTGCATTTTGCATTTCTTTAACTATATGTCATTCCTTTAAAACTAATAAAGAATCCATTTCTTGCTGGATGTTTAATTTAGCATAAGTATTTTAGGTAAAACATTTATAGACATACTTTAGCAATTAAATTTATTTTTTAAATAACTGACTATCACTATTTCTGAATGAAATGCATTTTATGTCACAAATTAGCATTCATTTTATACAATTTTTTTGTTACGGTTCTATGCATTACACCTCAGAAACATTTGCATGTGAATACACAAGGAATGAATACTCATACCAAATTACATGAAACAATTTATCAAGCTCATTCAAATATACAGTACAAAGTCTGAAATCTGAAATGGTTCAAAATTCTGACCACCAACTTTTTTTTGTTTTTTGTTTTTTGTATGCTTTACACTAGTGCATTTGATATTTTTTCATAGTAAAACATGGAGAGCCTCAATTCTTAATTTCACTTCAACACTAAATAAAATACCTCTATATTGAAGAAGCAATCATTTATTAACATACGTCTGTATAAACAATAATTTGACTTCGTAGTCACCTTTCTGCTTGCCATACATCTCAAATTGAAACATCACCAATTTTACGCCTATAGAATAATTTATATCCCTGACCACAACATAACAAATCATTATTTATTATTTTTTGCTTTCATCACTCCATGACTATCAACACACTGTAGCTTCAGTAATGATTCATGCAGTGATGTCCACAGAAGTGACTCACACAATAATGTTTAAACATTTTCTTTTTAAATACTAGTAACTAAACAATAAAGAGCATGGTAACCTTTTATGTTGGCATTATGCTTGACAACGATTACAGACTTCAACTAACTCCACTGTGAAGTGTTATGTTGACAAGAAATTTAACAGAAATCTTTCCATATGAAAAAAAAAAAAAAAAAAATTGTAAATGATACTAATAGGCCAAAAGATTAAATCTGTGTTGTTTAAATTCAGAATGACAGATCTGTTATATTCAAATAGCAGATTCATAAAATAAGCCCAGAACCAGTGGCAGAATTTAGGGAAGGCAAAATTTTTAGAATTTAGGGAGACACTTGGCAGCATAATTTAATATCCATCAGGCCTGGATAGTCCTAAAGTATACAAGAGCATTTACTTATTCAGGGCTCAGATGAACCTTAACCCCTTCGATCCTGACAATGGCAAATGAAGTTCCTCCGTGTGCCTGTGACCTTAGCCTAAAACATCACTGTGTGCTCAAGCACATTTTGGAATTAAACCTAACATGTGAAAATAATTCCTATAAAATTTTCAAATATTTGGAATCTTGCATATGTTATTTAATTGTTATTTCTTGTTACATAAACAAAAAACCCTAATATTTAAAATTCAGAATAAGTTTAATTTCAATATTAAGAATAATGAAGATATCCCCACATTTAAATTATTTCGTTACTATAATAAAGATATTTTAGAATAAAAAAATTTTGATTGACAATTACCGTAATTTCTGGAAAAAACGCCGTGACGTTTATGTGTTTAAAACTTAAATTTTCAGTGGGGGCGGCGTTTCTACCCATGCGGCGTTTAGGTGCACTAAAAATAAAATATTTCCTATGATGGTCATTGTACATAGTTTGGATGGCCTTGTCATTGTGCATAGACTGGTGCTGTTCCCACACAAAAGACCACTCAGTTGCTTTTTGCGAACGTTATTGTTTACATTCTTTCCCTTGAACGGACCTACATGCCTTATTCACCCTAAACGAGATCTCAGAACAATAACATTCTTCCCCCTTTCAAATCAACATTCTCATCAGTTTGAATAGTCTCTCTCCTCTGCCATTCGATGAATCTTCCAGGACCCATCGTCTCCCCACCCCTGCCTTTTCTGCAATTTTTTTCAAAGGCGGATACGACTCCACCTGCCTCGCAATAATGAACTCTGATGTATTTCCCCTTCAGCATGAATGGATTTTTCTTGGCATTCTGCCAAATACAGATCCCATCAGTTTGAGTACAAGTACAGTCAAAAGTAGTTAATCCGGACTCGTCGGGACTTCGGCAATTCCGGATTATCGATTTTTCCGGATTATAGATCATCAGTTTAAATCTGGTAAGATGACATGCAGAAATTACAAAATAAAAAATATGAAACCGTAATTTACGAAATAAAGAACAATTATGATCTAAAGGGTATCAAAATTTACAAAAAAAAGCTTAATATTTATTTGTTTACTTTATTAAACATTTCTTTCAATGTAAGTTGTTTAAGTTGCTTCCTTTCATGTGATAATACTTTCTCTTTAATTCTATTAAACAGACATAATTTCTTGTTTAGTTACAAAATTCCGCTGTTCAAGTCCTATAATTGTTTTAAGTCATATCAAAGACGGAGTACATCGACATGAAATACTACATTTAGTAAGGAATTATAAGCCAAATAAAATAAAAACACATCTGCCGTGAAGATAAGGATAGTGCTGACAGATCAACTTCCAATTCATTATGCGTCACGGCGTTTCCCGCCCTCCCCCCGCCGCAGAGCAGCGTGAAATTGATAAACAGATTTCGGATTTCGAAACATACTTTCGCTTTGTAAATCCTTTACATATTAGTAAATATATATTGGAAATTCTATTTGACATAATCGAAAGTTCAAGCTTACTTTTATAAAATTGCTCTAACAATCTGCAAAAAGTAAAAAGCCGGATCCAATTCGAAGATTAAAGAACAACGCAATCTGCAACATTAACTGAATTAGATAATTTTAGCTTACCTTTTACCGTCCGTTATACATTAAACGCGCATGCGCACACATATATTTGCAGCCGTAAAGGTATTACGCGCACACGTAAACGCCTCTGCGCGTGCGTCAAAGCGACGCATGCACAGAAAGTTTGTAGTTTTGAGGTCCGAATTAACGACTTTTGACTGTACTTGTTGAATAGTTTTTAAGTAAGAAGGGAGCGGAAAATTTTTGAAAATGTCTCTAAACGGCACAGAAGCTATACATTTCTTACCTTTAATTTATTTTCGAGTTATGGTTTCATTTCATGCATTTTTCATAACTGGTATGTCATATATCAGGACTTAGGTTGAGTTTTTGCATCTATACGGCCCATGACGATGTCACGCGCAATTTAATCTATTGCGGCATTTACGCTGATGCAGAGTTTCTGTGTAATTTTAATTTTTTTCCCGACATTTTTCTCGAGTGCGGCATTTATGCTGATGCGGCCTTTCTTCCGAAAATTACGGTAATAAAAATTCTCAATGTGGCAATTACATGATTTGAACAGTGGAACTCTGTAACTGAATAAAAGGTTATCTGTAAAAGAGAAAATATTAGTACAAAAATACAGCAACTTAACTAACTTACATTGAAATAATTTTGTTTTTTAATTTTGATTCCCTTAAGATTGCAAATTCTTTATTATTTAATAAACCATTATTTTATACTTTAATTTTATAATTTCTATTTGTCATCTTCCTAGATTTAAACTGATTATCTAATATCTGGAAAAAATCTGAACTCCAGAATTGCTGAAGCCCCAACAAGTTGAATCTCAGACTTTGTACTGTAGTAATCAGTTAAAAAGATTATCTATAAAAACTTACCGATATCAATAATTAAAATATGCAGGTTGAGGAGACTTTTAAACAAATCTCTACATAAATGCCGCAAACTCTGAAACAAATTTTTAATTACATCTTTATTTAAAAGACAGCAACTATTCAAAATTCTGCAATTTCAGCATTAAATAAATATATTCAAGAACAAAAACTCAAGAATTCATACAGTCAATTTAATTTCATATAAGTATAATATGTAATTCAGAAAAATCTTTATAATAAATTTGCAGTGATAAAACTTTCAAGAATACTGCAAATCAAAGTTGATGTTTAATTATACTGAGTCATTAGGGTATTTTTTGTTGTTGTTGTTGTGTTCATATTACATGGAACAATGGTTGCTAAAGCCTACTTCGAAGAGAGGGTGGACTTCTATTTTCCACCCCCAATTATGAGGGAGAGCACACTAGGGGGTCTCTTCTTAGTTTTATTTATTGAATTTTATTTATTATTTTAAAGCAGGTGACATGAAACATGTCAAAGCCTTTACTGCAACTGGAACTTCCTATTTTTAGCCAAATGTGCTTTGAAATTACACCCAGAAAACATACCATAAAAACAGTGAATTACAAAATAACGGTGGTGACGAATTATAGTCCACCAGACTTTTCTTCAACCACAGCTGTCTAGTCATTAGGTTTGTCAGTGCAGGAAACAAGGAAAATTAGTGATGCCTTTGTCAGGATTTGAATGCCTGACCTTCCAAGTGCCACCCAAATGTGCTTTCCAATTAAACCATAAAGGCACATGGTAAGATGGGAGAAAATACCTTACATTATCCTCCACATAAATATTCACTGGGTAGGAAGGAATCCAATTGCCAAAGCTTGGTGAAGATAAATTGTCTACCACATTTTATTATGGATACTTGTAAAGTGACTGTAATTTTTAGAAGCCAAGAAACTACAGAAATGACAAGTGCCCTCACTGGGACTTAAACTGCAGACCTATTGCTAGCCAGACATGCCCCAAAATTCACTGTGCAAGCATGCTACTAGGAGGGAGAAAATACCTTACAAATGCTTTGGGATCCAAATAAAAATTCATACACTGAAAAATTTTGTATTTTTGCATGAAAGGGGAGATATAAAAAGACCTGAGAAACAAGAATCCTTATTTCTGAATACAACAATTTTACTAAATGAAAACTCATTATTTATTTTATTAAAACATTGATATAAGAAAACATTTGAAATTACATTTTTGAAATCTAATATGAATTTATTCAATAAACATTTTCATGCATTATTTTTCTTTAATAATTCTTGATCTTAATAATGTAAACTACATGTAAAACTAAATGAACAATGAACTAATAGAAAACTTTAAATGTTTCAAAACTCAAAATCATTTAAACAAAAACAGACTTTACAACTTTAAACTCATAAATGCTTTATCAACTTCTTTCCTAAATAAGACTTCTCATTATTTTCCAGTTTTATAGGTTTGAAACTAATGTCTAAGATTACTTCATTCTCATAATAAACTCATTGATTAAGTGTTCTGAGAAGTATGGCATATTATTTCAAACATTAAAAAAAATGAAATGGTTTAGAAATCCATATAAACATATTTCAGCAAAAACTAAATTTAGCTATATATATATAAATAAATATTAAAATTTTTTAATGTCAACATAAAACAGTGATTTTTTTTAAAATTTTAACAGCCAAAAATCCTTTTAATTAATTTTTTTTAACAACACACTCCAAATATCTCTTCAAAATCTATTATAAAATTTATATAATGTTTATACCTACATCGATAAAATGCTCTCTGTGATGCACAATATATTCAAAAAGTAATTTCATAAGGCTCTTATTTTCTGACAGCATGTATCTTAATTCTTTAATTCTTTCAGCATCTATTACCTGACTGCTAGTAGAACTCAGTATATTTCTGAAAAAAAAGGACAAAATAAGAAAACGAATACTTTAGAATAAGTATGTATTATTCTTGTTGTCACAAAAAAAAAAAAACATGTTTACTTTTTATACACTGCATAAAAAAAAAAAAATCTGCCATTAAACTCACCCCAAGACATTTGTCCACTGAATCAGATCACGGACACATAATAACAGTAGTTCCGGATCATTAGCACTAAAACAAATAATTTTATATTTTATAATACAAATTACCTTGATATACGCCTAATAAAACGCACAATATATTTATTAATTACCTTTTAGAAATATTAAGTACCTCATGTACTATTTTGTCAACTATACAAAAACTACTAGATTTCATAATAAATTCATTGGGAGGAAAGACAGCCATGATACCACTGAAAATGCAAAGACATGAAGAACATGGAAATTTCTTAAAAGCTTGAAAACTATCTTCTTCAGAAAGAATTTCCATCTATGAATGATAAAAGATTCTTTCTTTAACAACTAGAAGCATAACAATCAATAACAATGTAAATGATCAAAATTCTATAAATTTTAACAAAGGTAACAAATATATATCAGTTAGCAACAAATATATATCAGCTGAAAAGTTTTTCAGATAATGAAAAACTTAATAAGATTCAAATTAGAGATGTTTCAAACAACTTTATAGATATCTTTTGAGTTAATTTTAAAAAGAATGAAATTTTACACTCCAATCTTAATATATTTTAATAATTATTTAATAAGCTATGACAAGAAATAATTAAAAGTAATTTTTAACAAGCATTCAAAAAAAATTATTAGCAAATAGCATAAAGTATTTATAAAGATATTTTATTTAAGATAATTTTACTTTTTAAAACAGATATATATTTACTTAAGGTTCATTACACTTGAGTGAATATATTAACATTCAATTTTTATACAATGTACTTTATCAAAAATGGAGCATAATAGCAAAAATTATATTCAAATGTCAACATATGACAAAATGTTTAGCAACATGAGAAGATGTTGAAAATTTTCCTTATAAATTGATTATTTAGAGATTTAATAGTTTAAAATACATACAAGTACTTTTAAAACATTTTCCAGTTTGGTTTTCGTCCAAAATAACTGAGGTAATTATAAATTTTAAATTATTAGCAAATTAATATACAACATAACAGCTTTCTTTCCTTAATACTGTTCACCAAAATAGATCAAATCAAAAAAATCTACAACATTTTCAATCCAGAGTAAACATAAAATAAGCATGCCAAAGTAAAAAATACCGAAGCTCTAAACTTTTTGTTTACACATATACATCATAAAACAACAAAATATAACACAGAATATTTAAAAAATTTTACTACATATCTTAAAAAAAGATAATGCCACTTATTAGCAATTTTAACACAGCTGTTATACAGTTTATTCTCCTCAGAAACAAAATATTAAAACTAAAAAGCTTAAACACACTGAACAAAAATAAAGAGTTGAGAACACTTTTTAAATGGATAAATAATATTACGGTGATGAAATCCTAATCACTCTAGTTTCATTTTTTTTTTAACATTGAAAATTCTTCATCTATAATTTGATATATAAAGAATAAAAGCTTTAGAATTGCTAATAAGCATATTTAATTATTTAAATAATAATACTTACATACTTTCTCATTAACCATTTTCAATAAACAAAAACTGTTGCCAAACAGTGTGATTCTGAAAATTAATAATCGACAAATATGGCATCACAGTACACACATATGATCTTCACCTTAGTTTTATGTAAATCTTGATAAATCCTTGTCAGGATAAAGAAGAGTCTATGCTGCTGTTGTTTACCTAAGCAGGGTCTAGATTTTTCAGCCATTAGTTTCTTTTGGGCAGCTTAATATGGTCTTGAAACAAATAAAAGTTATCATCTTCTGTAGAATTACTGCCTGCAAAATCATTAAGATTTGGCAATAGTAGAAGTGATAGGTAGTCATATTAGCCAGGCCAAATAATGAATGCACCAGTGAGTTTACCAGACCTAGAAATTTTAATATGGAACACTATAAGACTATCCCCAGCTAGTTTTTCAAAATGGTTTCATCAATATAGACATGACGCAGGATTTAATAAGGTCTATTGACTCTAGGAAACAAAAAAAAAAAAAAAAAAAAGAATATAGCTGAGGTTGAATCAGAATCTTTGGCTAAGCCATCTGTCATGTCATTTTCAATAATGAAAGAAAGAAAGCAGACAACATATTACAATGGCTGGGGACCCAATGTAATATGTTGTCTGCTTTCTAATAGAGAGTGAAGACTAGTCTGACAGTCATAAAGTGATTTTTTGCCTTTAAGAAACACAGGAGAAAGTGTCTCAATGGCAGCATGGGAGTCAACAAAGATAACATTTAAACTCCATTCTTTTACCAATTTCCTTACCAACTAAAGAAACATCAGCAACTTTGCTGTCAGTTATTTCAGAATTTACCAACAGCTTTACAGTAAAATGTTCTAAGTGTACCTAAGCTCCTGTGTTTTTAATGCTATACACAGCGAGACCATCTGCATAAATATGTAGCAAATATACAGAACTTTCATCAATTGTAGCAAGAGTGGCCATCTTAAGCTTCACATTTATAGAAAATTTTTTGCTTATGGAAAGAATTAGTCTAGATTATAGTTGATGGCACTGATATGTCCACAATACATGATTCACTTAAATAAAGGATTTCGTTAAGTAGCAATTAGCAGCAAAATTCATCTGACTGCTAATTTTTTTGCCAAGCTCAAAAAGCATTTCTAAATTTTTAATCTAAGTTGAACTAGTATATATGTTGACAAAGTTTTTCAAATAGTTTCAAAGCATATCTATGCCTTCAGTCAACCAAAGGCTCCATACCAGTCTGTAAGTGCATGGCTTCAGTTGGGAGTACAAGTAAGTGCCAATAACATTGTTTTGAACCATTTCCAACTCTTTCTGGGTGGTCTCATATGTGGTAACCTATAGCTCAGCTCCATATTCAATAGCAGGGCTGATGCAGGTCTTAAAGGTAAAACAAAACAAAGGAAGTGCAAAGATTAAAGAATCCATTATTAAAAGTGCAATTTCATTTTTTGTACTCACGGTAAAAACTTGATAATTGGTTTTATTAATTCCTACAATTATTTTATTTTAGAATACAAGTTCATTACTGTCTTTTCATTTTTCTCCCAAATTTGGAATAAATCATTTGGCCCTGACTGATTGAAGACTCCTTCTTTAGAAAAGCATGCAGAGTATTCTTAATGTCATCAGATCCTGCCATCAGAACAGTATGCTTTAATGGATAAAATATGGACTTTATTTGAAAGCAGATACACCCATTCAAAAAAGAATGTGATTCAAGGGCACAAAATTTACATCTATGACTGCATTTTGGTTTATTTGCAATGTGCATTTTTTATTACCTAACTAAATAAAGAATCACCTGCTTAAATTTCCAGCAGAATGACTGATGCAAGTTTGGCAAATTCTCTGCCATCTTTTATAGTTGAGAAGAAAGTATGTAAGCATCTCGATAATAATCTAACAACATAAATGTCATCCTTACCTTAAATTCCTTCTTATCACAAAAATAGTTGAAATAACACCATGCAATGGCAGCATTCAAACGGCAGTTTAAGAATGTCTTATCTGGGAAAAAATAACATATAAATAATATCATAATAATAATAAAAATAAATAATAGACTGTACACTTTGGTTAATCTGATATTTATCCTTTATTAAAAAAATTATACATTATAAATTCAACACTTCTTTGAATATTTATTATCTAACTTTTCTGCGAAATAAAGAATGTTACAAACTGAATGTTACATTACAAACTTACCACTCATTAGTAGATCATCCAGAGATTTTTTTATATTTTCTGATGCTGAAGTAAAATTTATATCTTCTTTATATTGTGTGAATAAATTCTTCTTACAATTTTGAAACATAAGAATAATCATTTTCAATACTGACTGACAAAGAGAATATAATTCTGTTGTTTTCTGAAGACTGTTTTCGACTCTGTAAATATTTAAAAAAAGGAAAAAAAAAATAATGCAGGCACAAATGCTTCGTAAAATTACTAAATCCTAAATTCTAAAAATATAATGTCAACTATACAGATAAATATATATATAAAAAAATTTCTTTTATTATTAAAATCAGCTGACAAGAATACACTATTTTTGAAAAAAAAAATTTAATGCAAGAAAACATTTCATTATTAAACTGCCAGTCGAATTATTTCATTAATTTAAAAGTTTATTAGACTTCTTTCTGTGAACTATTTTAATTTGATTTTATCTTCAAAGAAACATTAACACCAAAGGAAATTTGTATTTGGCATTTACTTTGAAATAAATGCATCTTGGTAAAGGCCTGTAAACTTGTATTGCCCACCTTTAATAACACCTTTGGAAATAATAATAATCACTGCAAATAATTCACACTCTGTATGAAGCCTCATATTGCTTACAAATACAAATATCAACTTAAAACAAAATTCAGAATGATATAAACTTTAAAATAGACATAAAACTTAAAATAAATATATGGAAATAACAATTAAAAAACTACTGTTTTCAAAATTTTCTCAGAGTTTTAGAAGATATTTTAATATGTTTGAAAATGTCAAGCATAGTAATGAACGTGGATTTAAAAAAGTCTTCAATTAGACTCAAAGATAACAATGGATATTTTTGAAGCAAATCTCTCCTTTCAAAATTTTTAAGAAACACACAAAATTATTCTTTTCACAAAATTTCCATCTTTAAATGATGACAAGCTAAAGCTATACCCCCCCCCAAAATGTACACAATTTTATTAGAAAAATGATAATGACCCTTCTGCTTCACAAAAAGTGTTTAAATTAACATTTATTTTCCTTCGTGAAAAATTTTTTTGTAGTATAAGTTTATATTACAAGAAATATACACTTGATATACTTGATATACAAATATTGCATAAGCTTAAAAAATATGAATCACAATATATATATAATTACCTTAAAAAATTTAGAACAGCAATAAGAATATCGCTTGTGGTTTTCCAAACTGAAATATGTAAAAGAATTTCTATAGTGAAAATTGTTTATCTTTATGCAGAAACACTTTAAAATAAAATAAAACTATTAAAATATTAATGAAATATTTTTAGATTTTCATTAATTTTAACTAAAAATTTCAGATATGTCAAGTATATTATCACTTATGGAAAACTAAAGTGAAAAAAAGACACAGAAAACAAAGTTTTTTTTTTTTTTTTTTTTTTTTTTTTTTAATTAGGCATTGAAGGTTTCACATAATGGTATTTCGGATAGATATTTTATTTAGATAATTAACTTGATTCTATGTGGATTGATTTAAATTATATAAGTAGAAAACAAAAAATAGAAATTTAAAATTTAATCTTGCAATCTGAAAAACATCAGATTACAATCTAATGCCTTAAAAAAAAGTAGATCATTTAAAAAAATTCATAACAGTTTTTAAGTATATAAAAAAAAAACACAAATACAATGTATTCACATAATGAATGTATATTCCATGGCAGGATTTATCATGCAAAGTGGTCATTATGCAACCCTTATGAATTTGTTCTTAAACAAAATTGTTAAGTAGTTTTAAAAAATATTAAAAACATTGCCAATATTGGAAATGATAAGAATTTACTAATTTATCAGTTATGAAATTATTTGCAAACATTATATAAGGTATATAATCTTACAGTTTGCAATTGTTTAGTGTGAGGCATCCAAAATTTTCAGCGAAAATGCAAGACTCAATTATTCTTTCCTTCCAGCACATTTATCTTTGATTTAAGGAGGGAGAGAAATCTAAGTTTGACAAGTTTAAGAATTGATATACAAGAAGATGATCCTGAAATACAGTGCTCCATAACCAGGACCCTCGACCTGGGATTCCTTACGAGGTTAGATATCCAGGTCACGTAGGACCCCTCAGTGGCGGCGCAGGCCCCACGGTCCCTGCCCGGCTTTATACATAGCCCCAGCAGGATGAAGAAGAAAATCGCTATGACGAATTAAAAACGCTAAGACATCTTTGCCTCGGGGCACCACTCCCTCAGCACCAGACGAACAATTGGTGCCCTGCCTTACTGTGTCAGTCCCCGTCACTGAGACTCTGAGGGCTGATCCCCCCCATCGAGAAGGCCACAAAAATATCTACAATATAGCTCCACCACAGCCAGAGGAACAGACATGACAGTACCAGTATGGTCCCTGCCAAGCCTGAACCAACCTAAGTACAATACTTGGGTTCTAGTCCTGTGAAGACTGTTTGTATACCCCCGTGGTTGAGACTGTCTAGGTACAGATCCTAACCAGTACTTCCCAGTCAACCTTCGGGGGGAATCCTGAAATACACCATGACGCTGTTAATAAACAGATCAGTCCTTTATCACAGCTTATTGGGATACCTTCATTTGGCTATGATTTGGATGTCTGCCCATTTCTAACTAACTAAATTTTTGGTACCAATGGATTATCTGCAAAACCTCAATAAGAATCGCTGGACAAAGTGCTGTGTTGCAAAATAAGGCAAGCCAGAATTTAAAAAATGTATACCGGTCTGGCAATCCACTAATGTATTCCCCCCCCTTGCAATGAGTCATACGCCACTGTGGAGTTTGCTTGCTAATAAAAAAGAAAGGTGTTGCCTTTCTTTTTTTCTTTTTCTAAGAAATATGGCATTTTGCCTAACATTACAGAGTACAGAAAAGTACACTCCGTGAGTTAATTTGGGCAATTCTCTGATCTTTTTCAAGTTAAAATTGGTCAATTAGTACATCAACAGCAGTTCCAATTTGCTCTGCAAAACAAAAAATTCTATAATTCTCTGATGCTTTTTTAATTTAAAACATATCGCTCTGCACATTGACAGAAGACAGAAAAAAAAGAAAGTTTTACTATGAATGTAGTGTTTTTAATCTAGTTAATTTGTTGCTGTTTTATGTAATTTTTAGTGTTTCATTATGGATGTTTCTTTCATTTTTATTTTCTTTAATTTGTTGCTGTTTTGCGTGATATTTTCCATACAGGCATTTTTTAAAATGGCTACTGTTTTTGACATGATATGTTGGCCAAAATTAACCACCAACAATTGCCAACTTTGCAGGAAGGTTAACGGATAATAAAGAGTACCTAAATTTTAGCAGTAAGAAATGTGGATGTCTCATTTCCACTTCTTCTGAATGTACCTGATGGTTGCAAAAAAGCTGCTGTTGGCAACTTTTTGTTTCAGGTTAGTATAACTGACATGATACATTAATGCCACGTTAATTCTTTAATTGATATTCAGAAAATACTGTTATTACAGTACAAAGTCCGAGATCCGGATGTCCTATATCTGGAATGACCTAAAATCCAGACCTTACAGCCACCAACAAAAAAATTTTTTAGGAAATTTTTTTTATGCTGTAGGCATGCGCTTTTTTTTTTTAGGGGGGCCCGTAAGAAAACATCTGGAGAATACCAATTCTTAATTTCATTTCAGCACTAAATAAAATACCCTTCTTATTGAACAAACAATCATTTTAGCATAAATTTGGCTCCATAGCTGCTTATCTACTTGGCATACATCTCAGACCGAAACATTCTACATTAAAAAAATTGCTGATTTTACAACTACAGTCAAATATCGAAAATCCACCGACCTGAAATCCGCCAACTCCTGAAATCTGTGTTGCCTCTCAAAATATAAACATTTAGTTCATAGGTTCCGGAAACCGCAACATTGAGTACGAAATATTGAAGAAAAAATACCGAATAATGACGTCATAATTACCAAATAATAATGAGTCATAACGGAAATGTCAAATTATTGACATAAAAAAAATTTAAAAATAAGATAGAAGTTTTGTTCCCTCTAATCTGCACCGAGGTAAAAAAGCAGATGATTCACTCTTCGTTCAAGTTCACGTTGTTGTATTTTCTGAGCTTTGTTATTTCATAAGATTCTTTAGTGCTGCCTTTTTTTAATCCGGATATTTTGTGGATCATATAAGAATATTTTAAATTTCAGCCCTTTTCAATACAATGACAGATAAGAAACGCACTCATGATTTTACTGTTTGCAACGTTGAAAAACGTAAACACGTTGCATTGACGGTGACGCAAAAAGTGCAAATTCTGCAAAAGATGGAGGCAGGTGCTGCTCCTCAATTTATAGCAGAATGGTATGGAATTGCGACACGATTGTGTATGATATATGGAAAAATAAAGAAAAGCTGTTAAATTTTACCGCAACAGAGATTCTAACACCAGAATCGGAAATCGGAAATCTTTGCACGAGGCGAAACCAGCAAACCTTGATGCTGTATACATAATACAATGAATAATATACTGTAAAGGCCTTTATTTTCGTAAAAATGAATATATCGGTGATTTCGCGAGTAGAAAATTTCGCGAATTTTATATGAACAGAGTCAAAAGTTGAAAAATTTCAAAAGTACCTAAGCAAAGTTGAAAAATTCCAAAAGTACATCTTTTGCATAAAGCACTTTAAGAAACTTCTTTTTGTCCAAAAAGTTCTTCCCCCCCCCCTGTTCTCGTCTAAATGGCGAGTTCAAGCGTTTGCTCAAGAATGAGTTTATTGAGTGGTATTCTAATGAGCTTCAATTTCTAGAGGAAAAAGAATCTGTGGACTCGCGAATATCACAAACGAAAACTGACTCATGCTTTTCGGTTTGTGTGCGTATTTAACGGTATTGAAGCCAAACATGAGATAATTTAGAACGGCTTCAAAGAAGCTGATATAAAAAGTATTCTAAGTGAATGAGCTGCCTTCTATTAATTTTATTGTTTTATATTTGAGAAATATAATTGTATATTATTCAAAAAATAGTTATAAGAAAGAAAGTTGTCAAGAAAAAGCTTGTAATTGTGCAATAAATCATTAAATTTTGGGTAAGTGAAAAATTTCTGATTTTTTATCATTATTTGAGGCAGAAAAAAAAAAAGTATTTCGTGAGGCTTAAATTTTCGCGATTACAACGGGCTCGTGAAAATCACGAAAATTAAAGCCTCGCGAAAATAAGGGCCTTTACAGTAATCAATTTATATATGTAATAATAATTTAATGCATATAATAAATTACTGCAATAATGTATATAAAAATTTATTTAAATATATCTAATACGCCCTATTTATTTTGCACATTTAGTCCGAATATTATGCTGTACCTTTTCTGTCCTGAAATCCGCACAACCTCTGGTCCCAAGCTTTGCGGATTTCTGGACTTCTACTGTACATCATTATTTATTGTATTTCAAATCATCTGGAATCATTATTTATTATATTTTGCTTTCAGCACATGACAGCTTGAGTAATGACTAATGTAGTAATACTGAAACTTTTTTTTTAATTGAGTAGCAAAGATTATGAAAACCTTTTATGTTGACATTACGCTTGGCAATGATTACAGATTTAAGTTAAATGTACTAAATGTTGATGAGGAAAATTTAACAAAAATTTCTTTCCATATGCTAAAAATAAATTTTGTTAATGTGACTCATAGCCCAAAAGATTACATTTAGTGCTATTTGAATTAAGAAGACATTTTTTCAAACCCAGAACTGGTGCCAGAGCTCACATGGCTGCATCAGGCGGCAGATTTTGGGAAAGACAAAATTTTTGGAATTTAGAAAAGCACCAAGCAACAAAATTAAGGGATGATAATGTTTTTAGAATTTAGGGAAAGCACTGGGACCCAAAATTAAGGGGCGGCAAAAATTTAAAACTTAGGGAGGCACTTGGAAGCAGAATTTAGGACCCAGAAAAACTGCATCAGGTGGCAAAATATCTAGCACCAGACCTCAGTAAGCTTAAGTATATATGGGAATTTGTTTATTCAGGACTCAGATAAGCATGTGCAAGAATTAGATGTAAGTATAATAAAAAAACTAAATTAATACATATGTAGTGCTTAATTGTCTCAGAAAACAATAGAAGCAAGGCAAATTTAATGGAATATTCTGTCGCCATGCTGTACAGCCAATCATGTATAGCGTATGCTGTTAAGCTAGCCTACAATTATACTTATTCAAAAGAATTTCAGTTAATATAGCAGATTGCGCTGCTAATTAACTTTTTGGTTAGGTCCAGCTTATAGTTTTTTGCAGAGAAAAGTATTAGCACAAAAAAATTAAGAAACTTAAATAATTTACATTCAAAGAAATGTTTAATAGAGTAAACAAATAAATATTAAGCCTCTTTTGCAAATTTTGATACACTTTAGATCATAAATCGTGATTTCATATTTTAAATTTTATAACTTTTACTTGCCATCTTACTGGATTTAAACTGATGATCTAATCTCTGGAAAAATCCCAAATCCGAAACCGCCGAAGTCCCGATGAGACCAGAGCTTGGAATTTGCACTATATTACATTAAATTTAAATTCTGATAACATAAGTAATAACCTGAAGTGTCAAAATGTTTTGCTTACTGGTTTGGAAATAAAAAAATTATTTACGAATTGGCTGTTGCTTGGAAAGAATGAACTGATTTCATTCATACTGAAATGTTTCTATACATTTGCTTTTCAGTGAAACATAGAACTTATAAATTTTGGTTTGGCTGCAGCCCGCTCATCTGGCGGGCTTGCCCACTAGTATTTTATAGCTGTGCTCAAGGTAAATATTTTACAACATAAGTTAACACTTGATAATCGAGTATTAATAATGATTATTAGAAATTCCCAGTAAAACTATTTTTCAAATGATTAATTTATGCTACATTGAGCAATGCAATTTTTTGTAATATTAAAGAGGAATTTATTTTTTCAAAAGAATCTTATGTATCATTGACTAATAACAGGGTCACTTTTATCACAGAGGTGATTTGCCTTAAATTGAAAAGAATAAACATTTCGAATAAGTTTCTTTTATGATGCTTAGTTAATCTAATCTAATTTGATTCAATTTAAGTTTATATATGAATAAAGTATGCAGGAATACATTAAAATATAAAATTATGCTGCACATTAATTAAAGGAACAGACCATATAAACAAACATAATTCAAAATAATTTCAATTTAAATTTTATTAAAATTAAAACATTTTAACTTTGAAAGAATTTTTTAGGTACTTAAATCTAGTATCTCACAAAGAATTTTTTAGGTATTTAAATCCAGTATCTCGCAAATGTTAAGCAATTTACTTTCATATATTTTCGAATCTAAAAACCCCTGCATAATTACTAATGAAAGTTATTATTAATGATAAATGGTAGAAACATAGTTTAGTATCATTTAACTACAGATTTTGTAAAGTTTTTCTTTTAATTATCCTAGGAAAGTTAATTTTTATAATGTTTTTTATAGATAGCCAAGTATAAGTTCATAGCTCATTTCCATAGAGCTTCCAAAATACTTCTTAATCTTTAACATTCATTTCAGATATAAATAAAGCACACAATACTTACCAAACAAAAAGTGCTCATTAATAACCTTCTTCCCTTTAAAAAATGAGAACACAGATCAGTTAAGTGTATCCTAATTAATTAAAAACTATGCTAAATTAACTACATTCCATTACCACTAATAATGAAATATTAATATAAGATTGCACATAATATGAATAAGTTGGAATTACCTATTGGTAAATTATCCAAAAGACCCAAAATACAATTAACATTTTTGTCTGTTTCCTTCACAGAGAAAGTTGCAGATGTTGTCATATTCAGTTCCAAACTTTCTTTCAACAAAGTTGTTAACTTCTCAGGATATGTTTCAGATAATTCCAGAAGAATTCTACAAGTGAAAAAGCAATAATAAAAGAATAGGGGGGAGAACTTTTTCACTTAAGGGAAACAATCTTATTATATAAAGCTAAAAGTTAATACCTATGCACAGCCTTTTTATGTGAGCTTTTCAAAGGTGACTGGTAAAACATGGTGCACAGTATTTCAAGCAGCATTTCAAGAAGAGTTAAATCACTAATTTTTGAAGATAAAATTCTGTATACCTAAAAATTAAGAGCATATAATAAAAACTGTATTAATACTTTTTTCTGAAAGAATAAATGTAGCTCTTTCATCAAAAATATGCTTAAAACAATTAAAAGTATAGGAAAAGGAGAATAATCTTAACCATAAAAAATAGTTATTAAAAATAAGCTGACAGTAAATTAAAGTACTAATTCCAAAATGATTTTCCATCTGGTCTGCAATGATAATCAATTAGATACACGGCAGGTACAGTTTAACGTAATCATTTTTAGCATGCCTATTTTTATAACATTAATAAAATAACAATATTAAACAGTGGGGAAAACATTACTCAAAATATAAAATACAGTTTTATTAACTTAATGGAAATATGTGAAAAATATATAAAAGCATACTTTAACATCACATTTAACAAGAAGTAAAGTTAAAATTCTTTAATAACACACTGCTTACAGATGTCACTCTAATGTTCAGGAAATTTTATTATTTATTTATTTTCATAATGTTTCTAGAAATTTTCTCACCAGATCTCATATACCAGTGTCTAGGAACAAATTTCTTCCATTTCTTATTAAACCTGTTTCTTCTTAGCACAAATAGAGAGCTCAGAAATGTGCTCTATCTTATTACTTCAATTATTTATTATACTGGCAGGTTTTTTCTCCATACATATTTATCACCTTTGGAGAATTCCTTGCATGTTGTATTTGGATATGTTTGAAGAAACAATTGGCAGATATTTTTCCCATCATTAATGCTAATACTTGAACTATTTCAGCAATGATCCACACAAGTGCTATTAAATGAAGACATTGCCTTTTTGTCCCCATTTAAAATGTCACTTGCTATTTTTTATAAATGCAATACAAAAAATGCATTTTGATCGTTAGATACAGCATATCAAGTGGGCTAGTTTTCCTTGCATTTGCATCCATATCTTCCAGGCTATTATAGATTCCAGCATTCATTTCACACTCATCGCATTTAAAAATTTCTTGACCAGTTGAATAAAGAATGAAGAGTTTGTTGGAAGGAATAACAATTTCAGTATGTTTTAAACTGCTATCACATCTACAATAGCTATGCAGAGTAGCATGTTGAAAGAAAAATTTCTATTTCCACAAAATCTATGTAGCCAAGTTACCATCTTCACTTGCTAAATGGACTTGAACACCAAAGAGAAATTATTTGTCACAGAGATTGGCGAAAGATATGTTTGTTTTCAAATTTCACATTGTACTGCTCACTCATGGAAGCATTTCAGTACTTTCTTTTTTTGTTTGTTATTATGGCAGATAACAGGCATAACAAGTGATAGCCATCAAACAACAAGTGATAACAAGTGATGGCCATCAAAACTGATCAAGATCAAATCAATCTTGACATTGGCAATTCTGATAAGTAAAGAGAAAAACCATCCAAAGAGGTTTATTTATTTAATTACCATAAAGAACTCAGCTATCTGCTTAAGGTAAGTGCCTTTGCATAAAAAACACATATAGATTGGTCATAGCACTCAATTATATCAGTAATGGCCAAATTCTGCACATATGACCAATTTAAAATGTATGCTGGATCTATGTACTTATCAGACTGTGTATATCTGGTACTTTATAATATGCGCACTCACATGAAAAGTTGGCAGTGCACTGGCTAATTTGTGAATAGGCAAAAACATTTCCTTGACTAAATTTACAGCTCATAATTACTGTTCTGTCCACAAATAATAATTTAAAAAGTATTATAAAAAAGAAATTTTCTGATAAAAATCAAAATGGCTGATATTTACATCTTTACAGTCATTCTAAGTTATGTTTTAATATAATGCAAATCATACATATAGTATAATTATGCATTATCTCCAAAACAAAAAGTATACATATCTTAGTGTCTGTGTTCATCAGTTTTTTTTTTCAACTGTGTATTCCATAATCAGGATAATGTGCAAGGAAATGATAAATACAGTTGATGTCAATTATATGATCATTATGTGAATTTGAAGCAACTTCAAATAAATATTCTAGCAATTTTAATTTTTATGTTCATAAACACTTCTAAATATAATACAATAAGTCATATATTTACATATACATAGATAGAGACTGATGCGATGATTTAGAAGTTGTTGATGATTTTTTTTCAGTACTGATATAATGAATAAGATGTATATTAACTAAATGTATAGGAAAAGGTTCATTATATATAACTCACTTTGTGTTTTAGTGTATTCAAGATACTAATTTATTAACTGCTTTTCATATTTGTAAAAAAGATAAATATCATAAATTACAAACTTTTGCAAAAAGAAATGATTACTGTGTTTGGAAGTACAGCCCGTGAACAGCTTTATTTTTTTTAATCAGCTGAAAATTAATTATTCTAAAAGAGAACCAGATTGACCAATGAACATCTACAATTCATAATAAAGATAGTTCTTAGCAATGTTTCTCTACAGTAACTTTGGCAAAACCAGCATGTTATGAGCTGTTAAGTGGAACTGCAATAAGAAATTTATAATTATTTACATATAAGCATACATACTATGTATTCTGCATGTCTCAATGAAAATTTTAAGTAAGAAAAGATGAGAATAGGATGTAATTATTTATTCTGAAAGTTTGACCCACTTGGAAAGCTTTCATAATTTGTTTCTTTTTATTTTAAGATTAAAGCAAGTTATTTAGTGGTTTAATCAACATATAAGAGTTATTTAAAACAAATGCCAGTCTGAAAATTCAATATTCACTTGTCAATATGTTTGAATCCTGAGAATGAATGCAGAGAGATCAGTCCTTAAGACATTTAATGCAACTCTTGTTTATGGACGATCAAGAGGAAGAAATAAAAAATGATGGAAGGACTGTCTGGGTCAGGATTTTGGCATTCTAAAAATTAAGAACTGGAGGTCAATTGCTAGAAGGAGAGTGGAATGGGAAAGGCTTCTAAAGAGGACCAGGGGCCATAAGAAGCTGTCATGCCAATACAGATGATGATATGTTTGAACTATGGAGTGTAATTAAGTTCTTGCAAACACCAACCTCAAAATTTAATTAAAAGTTCTGCTTTGTTGTGGGAACAACATTATTTTTTAGAATGGGGTGGAATTTGGCCTTATCAGCTACTTTCAGGTCATGCATTCAGCCCACTGATTTAACTCACACAGAATACCTGTTAAATACCTGTTAATAAATTAACCTGTTAAATACCTGTTAATAAATTAATCACAAACTTGATTTTATTTGCCTTAATAAGAAAAACAAATATTTCTAACATATGCAGTTATATTGCATGTGAAATCTCAGGCAATATTCTAACACTACGCTTGTTTAAATTTTGTAACAATATTTTCATCATTAATATATACATGCATAACAAATTAAAGTATACCTCTTTCAAAGCATTCATTTGATTAATGCCATCTGCAGCAAACATGAGATCTTGGATATGTTTTAAGATATCACAATAGTTTCCTTCACCTGAGAAAAAAGAAAAATATATGTAATAATTGACAAGAGGAGATATTACACGTAATTCATATGAAATTTTTTTTAAAAATATACCAATAATTAAAAATTTATAAGTAAAATATGAAAGTGGAGAAAGAAAATTATTAATATTGAAGATAGTCAATTCTAAAATAAGATTTGATATTTCTTTTTCCAACCTCTATGCAAAATTTTTCAAAAATATATAAAGTAAAATAAATTATGTATCTAGAATTCATGGTAACTGTTTTATAAATATTTTTATATAAGAAACCTTAATTTTATAAGCTTTCTTTGAAAGCATTTATATAAAAATACTGTATTACTATTATAAGTGTAAAAAGTGTATTGAATAATACGATCAATGAACCTGTGTTATTCTTTGCACAAAAGATAGAGAGCAATTAGCATTTACTTAACAGATTTGGATACAGTTCAAGCTTAACTATTTTCAATTTCCTTTGAAACTCACTTTAAGAAAGAAAAGTTTAGAAAATAAATTCCAATGAAATGTCCTAATTTGCTAAAAATATATGCAGTTAAAGTGTTCTGTATGTGGGAAGGATATGTGTCTAGTCGAACGTAAAAACCGTTTAGATGGATTTGAATGGGTTTGTAGGAAGAAAGGTTCAGATGGTCACTATGTGAAGCGTTCGATCAGAAAGAGTACCTGGTTTGAAAAAAGTCATTTGAGTATGATTGATATTTTGATTTTTACGTGGCTCTGGGTGTACGAAGCGAATTCGAAAATCATAGTAAGTGAATATTTGTTTTTGGTAGTGCTTAAATGTATAACATATTTTTCGTTTTTCATGTTATTTTATTGTTTGGTTTAAAATGTATTTTATTAAGATTGTGTATTTTTTGTTTGCCTATATTGTAGAATTTGGTGCTCCTTTGACTTTTCAAGTGAAAATATATTGATGTGTACATGGATAAAGTAAAGGGACTGTGCAATGCAAGTTTGTGCGATTCTGTGATTTTTTTTTTTTTTTAAGTGAAAATAGGTCAACGTATACATGGATAAAGTTAAAAGAGTGCGCAATGCCATTTTTGTGCAATTCGGAGATATTTTTTTAAGTGAAAATAAGTCGATGTGTACATGGATACCGAGTTTGTGCAATTGTTTGTCTTGTTATTTTGGCTTTGTGTAGCCAAAATAACGAGTCAAAGAATTGTACTGAATTGGTATCCATGTACCGCCAAAAATCGCCAAGGGGTACCCTAAACTATACTTTTACCGAGTTAATTTAACTCAAAGAAGTACAATAATGAAAGTAGAAACATTATAAAAACTATATTTATTTAATAATAAAATATGACTGATTTTAATATCTGTAAAAATATCTTTTAGTTAGTACAGTAACACTCCCAATAAATTATAAAATCAAACACTACACTTTCTGAAATTGGTTAATCTTTATTGTGTAGCCCTTGGTTTTGTTCTGAAAAAATCGCCAAGCAGTATTAGTTGTTCATGAAATCTGGAAGCCCGTTGCATTTTTTGTAATAGTAACCCTTTCCCTTTCATACGGACTCATGTTTTTGGTTCTTACTGTTTTTTCCAGTTGCTGTGTTTGCTTGCACGTGTATGGTGTTGTCTTGGATTTTGAACTTGCTATTATTTTGCTGTGGGTACCATCACTTAAGTATGTCTGAGGTGAGTAAGAGGATGAATGTTGCTTAACAGTGGATGAGCCGAAGCAACAAAAAATTTAATTGAATTAACATACCTGGAGGATGGAGGAGATGGTGTTGGGAAGCCTTAACGTATGCACGTGTATGTTAAAAAAATGACATTTTATTTATTTATTCATCTCTGTATGTTAATTTTTGTTAAAAGATTCGTTGTTTAATGTTTTTATGTTAGGAAATCAGTGTTTTTGGTTATTTATTCCTCTCTGTTTGTGTATTTTTGGTTATTTGTTCATCTTTGTCTGTTAAAACAGCTGCAAATTTTTTCTGGTTACCATGATAGTTTTAGCTTCCCGATTTAAGTGAAAATAGATCAACATGTACATAGACAAAGTTAAGGCAGAGCGCAATGCCTAGTTTGTGCATTTTTCCAATCTTTTTAAGTGAAAACAGGTCAGTGTATACATGGACACTGAGTGTGTATAAATCTTTGACTTTTTATTTTGGTTTTGTACAGCGGCTATCTTGAAATTGCTGCCGATCCTTCCTGGTGCTGATCTTCGCATCAAAAAAAGAAATGATTCACCAAGGAGTACCGTAAATTTTTACCATGAAATTATTTAAAATTGCATATAACATATCAAAAAAATAACTGCCAAAAAATAACATATACCATGCATGTTAGTCTATAGTTTAGGGTACCCCTTGGTTAGTTGTTGTTTTATTTGTCGCCAAGTTTTTGTACCATTTATGATAAACAGAGTATTTTACACTGAATGCTATGGAAACCCTATTATGACATGATTGCAGCAATTTTAACAGTTCAGAAAATATTTGAAAGGGCTTATTTATGCATTGGATGTTGGTTAGTAAGTACGCTGCTTATTTTGTGCTTTACACCATAAAATGGCTACCAGTGGTAAGTTTCTGCATGGTTTAGAACAAATGGGAAAGAAAACATTGATTGACTAGTGTAAATGAAGATTTAAATGGCTTCATTCACTTCTCGGTAAGTTATGCAGCGAGATTTAAGCATTTAGAAACTGGAGCTCATATCAACATTATGGAAGATATGTGGGTGTAATAAAAAAGGATTTTCTAAAGAAATGCCGCCAATAGTCTGGCAGTATGGAGGACTTTTTTTTTTTTTTTTTACTTTTGTGAATTTATGTGGCGATGGCAGTATACAGATTATAGTAAATTTTGAACAGTTTTTGGCTCCCATTAAGGAATTCTTCGTGTCACATATACCAAAGAAACAGAAATTTTTATATAAGGTATGTCGATATTTCCTTTTCGTACTGCGTAGATTAGAGAACATGTATTTGAGATTATATTTTTTGTCTTAATTATATTTTATTGCATTATGTTTCGGATGTCATTTTACTGGGAAGGGCATTGGACGTAAACAGGAATGGTGCCAAAAAATCGCCAATTTTCACCAAGAGGTACCCTGAAATCAAATTTTACCAAAGAGCATTTATAAAAACAAAATTTTTAAATACTCATAAAAATTATTTTGCTTGAAATTAATCGGAAAAATTTGAAGAAATACATATTTTCCTACCTCATGGATACAAATTGTCAAGTTATGCAACTATAAAATCATGTTTATTGAAATAATGTAAAATGGTTGGAAAATATGCAAATAAAACTGCTCATGTTATGGCTGTGTTCATTTTCAATAACGTGCCAATGAAGTAACTTATTGAGTATTGTTCAAATTTTCTCCTCATATTTAGCACCCAGAGACAGCTGAAGATTTCGTGCCTCCACCTGTTTTCTAAGAATGAAAAATATTTTATTTAATACTAAAATTTCGTAACATCAGTTTGGCTTTCCCTGGATGCTACACCCAGGGATAGGCATCCCCTCTCTAGCTATGCCGCTGTTTCAGGATGCTAATAGTTGCATTCTTACTTCCCTAAGTATTTATAAGAGTAAAAATATGAAGTATATAAAACTAAAAGCAGCAGTTTATGTAATCAAAATTCTACAGTTAGTAAAAAGGAAGGATTGTTCACAAAGCATCCCTTGCTAAAATTACATTAGCCGTTCGGAAACACGAGAATTCACATTCCAAAAATACATCAAATCTAATTTTTTTCATGTAACATCAAATTGTATTTTCCTGACTTTCTACTGTATATGAATGGAAGAGGAAAATAAGAAACATAATTCGATAAAACACTTCAAAAATCTGAATTCACATTAGACATCTGAAAACTTTTAAGAATTCACAGGGAAAATAAATAAAGCTTTATTACTTTTCACGTAATTCAAAATTTCATCAGGAAAAACATAAATTATTTTTTCTGTTTTCTTCTTTTTCCCACGCATCTTTAATCAGACTTTCGGTAAAACTACAATACAACTCTCTCTTAAAAATTTTTGCGTAACGAAAATTCACACAAATTTAAGAAACATCAGTAAAACATTACACGTTAAAATAAACGACAACAAACCACATATCATAAAAACTGATTACGTATTTCTAAAAATGAGGGCAGATGAAAAAACTTTAAACGGACAGAATATAAACTGTTCTTTAATTCATTTCTATTTGGATAATCATATATATTCTATTCATTTTAAACAAATAAGTTCATCGTAAAAAGAAAACACGTTAGACATAAACGGCTCTTTTTTTGCATCCGCTAAGTCTTTCTGCCCTAAGGGCGAAAAACCAAGTTTAGATGTGAAAAGGCAATTTTGTTTGAAAGAAAAATAATTTTCAAATATTCTTCCCTATCATATTATACGAAAATGTTAAAGCCAGGTTAAAAAAGGGTTAAATAAAGAAATTTTTAATAAGGCTTAGACTATATAAAAATGATGATTATTATGGGATAAATCTCAGATGAACCTGGTGATATTTTTGTTGTAAGTTTCACAACATTCTTTGTAATCTCTGAAATGCTTTAAAAAGAGGTTTCCTAGTTATGATTTCTAATGACCGATGAACAGTTTCAATCGTAATACGTTTGGCACATATATTCATAAAATTTATAACATCCAAATGTAATAGCAAACAAATATTCTCCCTGTTCTTTTGACTCTTTACTTCTGATACATGCTCTGCAGTTCAGGATTTACGTACAAATTACACAGGCTTTAGCTTACGGCCCGCTTTCTTGGGAAAAACCCCTCAAAAAACCTCAAGGTATCCGAAAATCATATTTGGCACTGACATATAATATCATAATATCTGTATTTATAAGGGGTCTCATATCTCAAACAGCTTAGGGCCTTATCCAAGTCTAAATCCGGCCCTGATCAACACCTCCAGGCCTGCATCAGGGCCACACCTGTTAGGAGGTGTGGTCCTGATGCTCTGAATAATTATTTATGACTAACAAGTACAACATTTATGACTAATAATGATGTATTTAAAGTGTTTATTAAAACCTGGAAAAGTCTTATATTTTATCAGAATAATAAGAGGAACAGAAAATGTCTGTCTCGTTCAATACGGTACTTAAAAGTTTGCCCTGAAACTCAAAAAGTTTAATGACACGAGCGCCATCTAATGGATATTGAGCGCACAAATTGAAGCGATAGGTAACAGTGCCTGTATATTATCTATGTTTGTTTCACTAGTTGTGTGTAACAATTTGCATGAAGTGATTTAACGTTTTATTTGTTTACTTTGAAAAAATCTTTGTTTTTAAACGGATGTGTTTTAAAAGCGCTCTACTATGCATTTTTACTATATTGAAAAACACAGACCGGTGCGAAGAACTTGTGGATAAGGAGTTACAATGTTATTCAACTAGTTGAGGTTACTAGGGCGGCGAAAGGTGGGATATTTTTTGTTGTTATGTTTGAAGGTATGCCTAGGCGTAATACGCTCTTGCCGTGATTCTGATAGCTCAAGACCGTTTTATTTATGATTTAATTTTTTAAATATAACTTTCTTTACATTTAATTGTCTCGTTAAGAGTTCCAAGCAGGTCATTTATGCTGTTTATAATGGAAATGCTCAATTATTTTTTACCTGTGCCTATGAATGAGCATTTTTTATTTCTAGAATGTATGAAAATCACTAATTTGCTGATCGAGCAAATTTTTTTAAAAGTAGCTCATATAATGTGTAGAAATAAGTAATTATACAACTAAGATATTTTAAATTAAATGATTAATTAACCTAATGATGTTTATTTTTGATTTTTTTTTATAAATAAAGTAAGTCATAGAAAGTCGAAATTGTCGTATACACTACCCTTAAAAATTTAATAAAGCGTGAATTTTTTACTGTATAGTACTGGCCGTGGTTACTAAATAGTCTGTAAATTTGACTTGTTTTAGCACTGAACAGTAAAGTGAATTAAGTAGGAAAGTGTAATGAATGGAAATTTTCCCTTATGTCAGAATCATAGGAGATATTTAATTCATATTCGTGCACAATGTATTGATAATTTTTGGTGAAATGTCGAAAATCTGTAACTCGTAGGAAGAGAATGCATTATTCTACAATATTTTAAAACACACCTAACAACAATTACTCATCCATGTACACATTGACCTATTTTCACTTAAAAAACATCCGAGAATTGCACAAAAATGACATTGTGCACTCCCTTAACTTTATCCATGTACACATCGACCTATTTTCACTTAAAAAGTTAAAGAAAATTGACAAAAATACAATTCTTCTTGCTCTTGTACAAAGCGGAAAACAAATAAGTGGGCAATTCTGCACTTTGCTGCAAATAACTTACGAAGTTTTTTACCAGAATTAGAATGCACTTTTTTAATGCATAACCTAAAAGTAATGGAATTTTTTCATATTTTTTATTTCGCGTATCCATTTGAAAAGTTCTTATGTGGACGTACAATTTGAGATTAACACCTGAATCCTAGCCAAAGGTTCTACTTACTCGTGTACTTTTCTGTATACTCCATGCAGTAAAGTTAAATTTTCACCATATATTTAACATTTACATTAAAAATCTAAAGTTTCATATATCATAGTTAATAATTGCATAATTTTCACTCAATTTAAGACAGAAAAGTCTGCTTAATATGAATTCAATATGTGCAATAATTAGTGAAGTAAATGACAGTGAACTCACTCCAAAGACAAACTATCTGTAGTTCTAGATTTTTTTTAATAAATTATCTTTTTATGACAAGTAGTCAATGTAAGAAGATTCACTTTAGAACTATTTTGCTTAACTGATTATTACAGCACAGTCAAGTGAAATATAGTCAAAAGTCGCTAATCCGGACTCGTCGGGACTTCGGCGATTCCGGATTATAGATCATCGGTTTAAATATGGTAAGATGGCATGCAGAAATTATAAAATTAAAAATATCAAACCGTAATTTATGAAACAAAGAACAATTATGATCTAAAGGGTATCAAAATTTACAAAAAAAAAGCTTAATATTTATTTGTTTACTTTATTAAACATTTCTTTCAATGTAAGTTGTTTCGTTGTATGTGAATACTTTCTCTTTAATTCTATAAACAGACATAATTTCTTGTTCAGTTACAAAGTTCTGCTGTTCAAGTTCTATAATTGCTGTGTCGAGAATACCGACTAATTTGTCAATCGAAATTTTATCGTTTCCAATAACCTCTGTGTCACTTTATTCACTATCAGAAGCAAATTATAATGAGGAGGAATTTGATATAAATCATATCAAAGACGGAGAACATCGAGATGAAATACTACATTTAGTAAGGAATTATAAGCCAAATAAAATAAAAACATCTGCCCTGAACATAAGGATAGTGCTGACACATCAACTTCCAATTCATCGCGTGCTGCAGCGTTTCACCCCCCCTACCACCACCACCACACACACACACACCGCAGAGCAGCGTGAAATTGATAAACAGATTTCGGAATGGTTAGAGAAACAAAGGATATGCCTTTATCCATTTTTTGCAGCAATTCCACTTTTTGTTTGATGGACATCGAAACATACTTTCGCTTTGTAAATCCTTTAGTAGCTCCAGCATCGGAAATTCTATTTGACATAATCGAAAGTTCAAGCTTACTTTTATAAAATTGCTCTAACAGTCTGCAAAAAATAATAAGCCAGATCCAATTCGAAGATTAAGGAACAACGCAATCTGCAACATTAACTGAAATAGATAATTTTAGCTTATACCGTCTGTTATACATTAAACGCGCATGCGTAAACGTATTATGCACGTGCGCACACACATATGCGCAGCCGTAAGGTCTTACGCGCATGTGTAAACGTCTATGCGCGTGCGCATGCGCAGAAAGTTGGTAGCTGTGAGGTCCGGATTATAGGTGTCCGAATTAACGACTTTTGACTGTAGTGCTGTTTTTTACATTATGCAGTATTTACTCAGTGGATATATTTTCCCCACATTATGCAAATTATTCTGTGGTTAATTTATAGGGAAAAAAATGTTAAAATTGTTGAAAACAGTAATTATTATATCCAGAAAACTCATTACAGGCTTTGTCATTTCAGTTAATTTTAAAACACATAATCTTAATTCATGGTTTAGCTGTAACAATTAATATGATTTATTAGTAAAAATTGTTAAATAACAAATTATATTTTGATCAAATGTACAGCTTCTGGAATTCACCAGGCCAAGTAGAAAAGTCACTGAAAACTGGCAGTGGTAGTTCAATCTGGACTCAAATCCCAATGAGCAGCCCGGCTACATGGGAATTTGAGTAGTTTTTCTCATGTGGATACCAGCAGTGCCAGGTTTACATATAAGCTGTAGCTTAGGTCCCTCCCAAAAAAAATTGTAGCATGTCCAATATAAAAAAATATTGACTCATATTCCTCATAAAGCGCCATATATCTCAAATAGCTTAGGATCTCACTAAATCTAAATATGGCCCTCGGTACCAGCGAGTTCTGCATGAAGGCATCCTTTCCCCTTTTTCTATCTGAGATAGATAGCTCTTGCGTGCTTTGCCTCAATCAAATAAACCAAATTAAACTACAGCCTCTAGTGACATAAACATAATGGTAAATTAACAGATGCATGCAAGGGGAAATCCAGTATGGATTGAGTATTCAATTTTTATGTTTGGGGGATCTAGATATTTTGATATTGCTATTATTGTGCATTTGAAATGAAGATTTAAAACTTCAGTAAAGTACGTAGGCAAATTCCTTTTGTCAGAAATATGACTTAGGATGAAATTTGTGAAAATTTGCAGGGTTATAAGTCTAAGCTTCAAAAGTATAGTCCTGAAATTTACTTACAGTATGGCAATTTCTGTTGCTAATTAAAAGTTGCGGTTGATCTTTACATTATGGTAACTTGGCGATTTTTTGGCGAAAACTTGGCAACCAACTCTCCTACAGCAACCCCCTCCCTTTTTTTTTTTTTTTCCCCCGCCGCCATTTTGTCTTCACGAAGTAAAGACATGTTTGTCTTTCTTTTTATCTACTGAAACACTTCTTCCAACAATCCACTAGCCGAATTACACTTATGCTAGAAATTTTATCAAACAAAACTGTTTAATCATGACGAATATTCACTGTAAAATTGGGAAAAAAGTGCACAATACCATACTCCTTACGCGTTTTTCAAATAACACATACACATAAACCATGTACACACGCCGACTTATTTTTACTTAAAAAACAAATCCCAGAATTGCACAAAAATGGCATTGCGCACACTGTTCAC